CAATGCTCTCAGAAGAGATTAATGGATCTGCATGGAGACTACTGGCTTTCGGTTTGAATAGATTTCTCCTGGCATATTTGTTTTATCTATTCTTCAAAGAACACAAATGACAAGATCCATGTGGGACATGTTGTAGGCTTGGAAAAATTAATCATAAATCATAATTCATTTTTCTCCCAAGCTTGGAGACTACAGATGTGTTACGTAACTAATAGAAATGAATCATACTTCCTGTTTTCTGCTATTGTTTATCATGTCAGTCACAGAATGTCATCATGCTCCAATTCACACATCATTTTAAAAATGGGAAATAAGAACCATTTACTCCAAAACTTAACCGTATTTTCACTCTGCATAGGAAAATAGTGCTTTTCTACTATGATAATGCCATGTAACAAAATTTGAAAAAAATCTATTCCTGGTTTGAAAGTATTATTTCTGTTTAATTGTGCAGTATGTGCAGAAGTGACTGAAACTATGTATATGTTTAACTGTTAGAATATATTCGTGTTGGTAACAGTAGCTGAAGCTAGAGCTAACTGGTTGTATCCACAGTGGTGTTGCCAAGGAGACCAGGCAGGAGAGAGTGAGAAGTGGGCGGAGCCAAGCAAGAAAATGTTATCTGCGTCTTTGAAAAGGCAGCAGTTTAGTTTAGGAGTTGGGAGTTAGGAGTCGGAGTTAGCAGTTGAGAGAGGAGAGTGGAGAGTAAAGAAGCAGTGTGTGTGAATAGCCAGAGGTTTCTTCAGTCTAGGAAGGCTGAAGGGGGAAATCTAATTAGTTTCATTAGTCAGAGAGGACTAAGGGAAGCTTGTAAGGATCACTAGTTAGGAAAGAACTAGAGATCTAGGATTTGATCAAGAAAGGATCAAATAGGAAGGCTATTCACCTCAGGAAACATTGGTTAAGAAAGTGCTTCACCACAGTAAAAATCAATCACAAGTTGTGTCATTGAGAAGAGTGAACTGTTTTGCAAACCAAGTTACATTCAAAGTTCTCTAAGTTATTCCAAGTTAATTAACAACCTGCAACCATACGCTTTGTACAAAATAAACTTATTAACTTTTGTTGAAGACCGTGTCATCTCCATTTATCTGCGTCTGGGGAGCCAGTTCTCATCGGTAATACCTCACGTTGGTGGCAGTTACCTGAATTACATCCATAATCATCCACACCTGCATAATTGGTGGCAGTTTTTAAGAACAGCCTATACAATTGGTGACAGAGGGTGGGTTCTTTAAAGTTAAAAACCCTAAATCCTGTCTGTTGTTGGAATTGCAGCACCTTTGCAATTGGCACAATTGTACAACTGGTGCATGCAGACTTCGCAAATTTGGTGTCAGAGGTGGGATAGACATCGCAAATTTGTGGCAGCCCTGTACAATTGGCTAGCGTCATTGCAAGTACTTACTTTGAAAGTAGTTGTTATACTGCACAAACTTTATTTTTGTGGCTGCCACAAACTATGTTGAATTGGTTGAGACTCGATGAGATAGTTTTTTGCAGTTTAATAAATGTTTCCCATGTTTTTATGATAGAACCAATTAGGAAATGGCATTTATAATCCAGGAACAAAAATCATGTTGCATAATGTAATCCATTAATTTTTTAAAAAACTTTATTTGAACACAAAATATATAATATAAAAGAAACATACACAACATACATTTAACCTAAATTAACAGTACCACTACAAAAAAACCCTCCGATACACGTTATATTATAACATGCACAAACTTCAGACTTCAAAGGGGGTGGGATAGACAAGCGACTTCCAACTTTCCAGGTAATTGTTATGCATACTTCTTCTAAGTTAATACCTTAAAGTAACTTCTACATATTTTAATTCTACTATTCTTCAACACCTTTCACTGAAATTTGCAGTAAAGCACTCACAAAGGAATTTTGGTGTCTCCAAGCCAAAGAAGCCTTTGCTGTGAAATGCCTCAGGCATTGGTGGTTTACTTAATTAACTTCATGCTCTGATGTCTTCCTCCATTGCAAGGCCAGAAGGCTCACCTGGCAGTGATGCTGAAGGAGTGTGGGGTGTAAACTTGGTTAATATCTGTGTTTATTTCATTGCAACGTTCCCAGATCTTGAAGCTCAAATGTTATACTCACACACCCAAAGAGCCATCAACCTGGGGGCTACGTTTCTCAAACACATATTATCTTCCTTGATTGAACTTCCTTCACAGTGAATTGTTATTTGAGGAGAGGCACTGAAAAATGCATAGCATAATCAGAAGGACCTGGACGAGGCATTCAATATGACAGAGGGAGAGAAGGAACTTGAGATAGAGCTACTATTTGGAGTAGCAGTCCTTGGTCGTTTGCAGCACTTAGATTTTCTAAACTGAGCTTATCTCCAACTGTCATACAGACCGGCATAGAGGAAACATTTTGTCCAATACTGAACTTCATTTTCAGTTCAAGTATGAAAAAATAGAATTGCATATACAATGTCATTAGGAATGCAGATCCGCAGGTGGGACAGATGTGGATATGCACTGTTGGTTGTACAGTCTGATTGTGGATTTGGTTATGCAGCTTTGGGTGAATCTACATGAGCATAAAGACAGGGACCCACCCTGAGTTGACTTCTGGTTGTCTTTGTGACATTCCTGTACAGGTTAAACCAGCTTTGGCCCACTTCAAGCAAAGTTGGGAGATGCTCCAGAGTTTTCTTTGGGGCAGTGTGAACACAAAGATTGGGTCTGATTCAAACTGTCCATGTGGAACTCCACTACCATCATCTTCTGCTCATCAGTGCAAGGAAAGAGGGATGGATTGTGCTCATGCCACTGCCATCCCAGTCAGCCCCAGAGGTTTGTGCAAGTTCCTGGCTATCATAGGCACCCTTTTCTGACATCAACAGAGATGCTCACATGATCTGGAAGAAGGTGGAAAGATCACCCTACTCCTTTGTCCTGGTGGCATATGTACCTGTGCTGATGTCAGAACAGGGTGCTTTCTGGAGCCCTGTAGCTAGCTGGGAGTGGAGATACCAAAATGGAAGGTGAGGTGATACCATCTAGGCCCAGCTGGACCATGTGGAGCACAATATAGACTCATTCTTGGTCACTCAATAAGAATTGCATAATATAATCAATATGGAAATCTACACAGCATGGTTTGGCTAGTCTGGGTTAAAATAAAGTGGTCTCTAGGATTCTGGTAAGCCAGTGTTTGATTCCTGCTCAACCATAGTCACTGGTTGGAATCCTGGAGGTGGGGTGTCTTACATATGTGAAATTAAGCGAGTCATAGGTTCTCAATCCCAGGACCCTTCCACACAGCCCTATATCCCAGAATATCAAGGCAGAAAATCCCACAATATCTTTTTTGAACTGGGTTATCTGAGTCCACACTCAGATAATGTGGGATGTTCTGCTTTGATATTCTGGGATTATAGGGCTGTGTGGAAGGGCCCTCAGAGAACTGAATAAATCTTGGTAAGCAACCCAAGAAAACATTGTGATGGCACCAGTAATGGAGAAGTGAAAGGGTTTAATGTTAAGTTACACATTGTAGTTTACACTGGAAGCTTTCCTTTCTCTTTGTCCAGCCTCAACTGTCAGTTTGCTTACCCCTGGGTGAGATTTGTTCTTTTCTGCTGCTACTCAGTTAACTCAATTGGAATAAAGAATGTGAAGGAAAGGTGGCTGATTGAAATGGCTTCTTTCTCAGTCTGCTCTCCTTATGTTTGGTTTATGGGAAAATCATATTGCTCTGCCTCAAAATGTGAACTTCTGATCATTATAATGAACCATGAGAATAATTCAAATACTACCAGATAAGAGGTGGTCAGAAGAGCTGAGTCACTTCTGTTTTCAATGTAAGCCACCCTTTTCTTAGCTATTGCAGAATTCTCTTGTGAGTCTAAAAGGCTAGAGCATGGAAACTATTAACTGAAATCTAATGCTGACCTGAACCCCTAAGATTATCTACTTCTCATTATTTAGCATTCTAGACTTCAATGTGCTGCAAGTTTTATATCTAAAATGGTTCTCTAGTATAAAATTTCTGGTGATTTATTTTCCATGACAATAAAACCTCTGAAGTTTGGAACCTTCCCAGCAATAATACTCACAACCTTTATACATTTTCAGTAGTTTTATTGAAAAATGCCTCTTTTGTTTCAGAAATAAATAATATAAGGCAGTGAAATTCACAATTTGCAGTTAAAATATAAAAGCAGCAATTCTATATCCATAGTCTTGCAAACAATTTCCAACTGCTTTTTTCTGATAACTACGAAACATTATATTCTGGGGGAAGGGGAATCATACTAAATATACAACACAAACATGCAATTTCATCTCTGCAGGATTGACTGCAATTTGGAATAAATGTTAATGTCTCTAAAGGAGACTTAAGCCACTATTTCTTTTCTTTTTTTAAAAAAAAACACCTGTATCCAGTTGATACAATGATGTCAGCTACATTATTTAAGGGTTGTGATTGAGAAGTATATGAGCAGAATGTGCCCTGCAAGATATAAGCAAAGAAAGGAGGTGGATGTGTGAAAATAAAGGTTCCTTGTTTGACTGGCCATAGCCAATACAGATATGTAATATGATTGAACTGTATGTACGCATTTGATGAGAAAGGAGTGTCAAGTTAGCTCCACTGATGAAGCATCCAGGCATGAAAAAACTGATAGCAGCTTAGGGAGGGTTTTCCTTTCTTTTCTTTTTTTTTTCCTTTTAATATTTACTAAAAGAAAATGATGTTTGTGTATTAAGGTTCTATGTAATGACTGTAAGCAAAAGTATTTTACAAGCATTCAAGAGTGAGAATGAAGTCTATGATAACATTTTATTGCTATTCCCACATAAGCTTGATACCCACAGAAGAAGCAAGCACATTTCTGCTCTGGAGGAGAAACCGGTGCACCCAACCATTTCTGTACGTATCTAGACATGGAAGAATAGCAACAACAAAAACAAACAACCAAGAAGGGGGTGGGAGAATAAGGAAGTCAATCATTTATGGCTGTGTTTTTGCTTTTCATGATAATGATCTTTTCCAGCGCATATGATCAGGATATCCGGGTGAATGCATATCAGCTCCATAGTCCTCATATTCATCCTCTCTTCTTTCAGATTCCACTGGTACTATGTAGGGTTCACTTTCGGGCTGATAGGGTCCGCTTTCAGGTGCGTATGGCTCTGGTTGAAAATAGTCGTCCGATTGAACATTATAGTTATGATATATCTTTGAATCCACAGCATTTTTTCATAAATGCTATTGTTTTAGTAATACACATTTATTTATGGCTTTGTTCCTCAGGCCATTTATCTGGAAGCGAGTTCCATCCAAAATGAAACAAAAAGGCTAGTAACTTCCCAGTAAATGACGTTGAGCCAATGATTCATGCAGGTATTGCATTAGGTATAAAGATCCCACTCTCCAACAATGGGAACAGTGTGAAACTATCCTTGAGTCTCAATTGAGGAAAGAGGTCTGCTCCAAATGCATACCAGAGGATGCATGGGCTACTGATTGGGATCAATGCACTATTTGCTTACTTTGAGAAACTTTTGTGCTGCTTTTTGAAACAAAGCAACAAAAAGTTTCTTCAAAGCAGCTCACATTAAACAAAGCATAAACAAAAACAATTTAATAACATTAAAATATTAAAACTTAAATTCTATGTATATATTATTTACTCAGGAATACGTCATCACCCAGTGTTCAAAGGGAGTGAATTCCTAAGCAAACAAACACAAGACTGTAGATTAGTTTTGCAAGATGTACATAGAATCATAATAATTAAAACACAATTGCCAATTTGGAGGAAGGAATAAAATCATATTTAAAAATGAGAGGAAAGCATATGGACGGAAACTGCAATCTAAGTGTGACATACATTGTGCCAAAAATAGAAATCGTTATCAAGCTCAGCAAATTATTTTTGACTGAATTCCACCAAAAGCAATCAGAATTCAGTTAGTCATCACTATCTTTGTTCCATCCATTCAGTGGGATTTTAACTAATGATAGGTTTCTTAGCAGAAAGATTTACTTTTAAGATAATTAATGCAGTATGTTTTGTCAAAATCGAAAACCTCAAGCATGTGGCTTGTTTTTTAAAGATATTTTCAAAAGGTACAGCTGACATCTACACAAAGTGTTCACCAGTGGCAACACTGAGTAAATATTGATTTTTTGGCAGCGTTCCTTATATTAGATTGAGTTGGTACTAGAGGAACACCAAACACTGGAAGAAGACCAGAAGCAAAATCAATTATTCTTGTTGTGCATTTGGAATAAGATTACATATACAAAAGAGCCCCAGTCCTAAATGAGATAAGGTGTTGATGATTAGCGACAAAGAGAAAGTTTTCTAGCAGTTTCAAAGAGATTAGGATAGCACATGGGAAAAAGACAGCAGCACAGCAGTGGTAGTCTTCAGTGCAAAAGCGCAATGTAATGTTGTTAAGTTTTGTTAGTTGACATGATCCCATACAAACCATTTACAAGCCACAATTAGTTTACTATTTACATAAAGTCAGTCTGTTTCATCAAGGTAAATCTATGGTGGTGTTACATCCATTAGCTACTAGTTCTATAAGTCTCCCTTGCCATTGGGACTCTGTTACTGGGCTGGAGAGAAGAATATGAATATGGAGGCTGGGTTTATCTCACCTTACTTTAGCAAATGAAAAAAGTATTTGTTCTTTATTGCATTTTTGTTAGTAAGCATATAAAAATAATCTGTCCATTTTATGTGGTCAACATTGCTCATTTAACCATTATCTATGGTTATCCATACTGATTTACTTCCTAATAAGCACGTGCGCAAATATCCCAGAAACAGGATTTTCATTGTATTCAGACTGTAAACAGCACTGGTGACTTAGAAAAGGTGTTAGCCGGAACCTGAAACAGGTCAAAGATGATGTTAGTTTTCAAGATTGAACAGCTGTGCAAAAATATTTTTCCATCCATCTAAATCCATCTACAAGGGTTAAATTATATGTATATATCTATATATGTATACCAGGCTGCTCCCCACAAAGGTAGCACTGCAATAATATTTTCCATTTATTTTAAAAATTCAGATTAATTATTGGTTTTGTGCAAGTTCTGCATAATAAATTTGTTATTACATTTTTATCCATTAACTTTAAGTCTGTCAATTTGTGTGTACACATATATATATATATTCTCACATACATGCACATTATGATAGTGGCAAACAACATAACCAACAGCAATATCATGTTCATGGAGTATAAGGTGGTACAGTGCACACAAACAAATTCCTAATAGTGTGGGTCTGGACTCTTTTTTTAAATTTATTTATTTTGAGGCACTAAGTTTATTGCACATGGTTTTTGAACGTCATGCCCAGCATTGTTGTTTTTTGGCAATTCATTGTATGGAATTGTTTGTTCTTAAAATAAATTTGGACTAGAACTCAGCACAAATCGAGAGGTGGTTATGTTCTCACCCCACTCTACTCCGGATTGTCTGCACTGTATCACAGAATGACATTTGGTCTTAGAAAATTAGATTTCAGGTACTAGTTTTGTATAGATAATCCCAACATTAACCAGAAGGACACATAGAGAAATTGCAAACAACTATGTTCTTTTTTTTATTTACTTTAGATGAGTGGTCAACCTTGTTCAGAAGAAGTAGTTTGGTGCAAGTTGGGAGGAGGAGGAGGAGGAGGAGGAGGAGAAGAAGAAGGAAAATTGGTCATTCAAATCCTAAAAGTAAAGTTAACATTCTCCTAGAGCTATATGTATTAGATGTAAACTGCTTCTAAAGGATATACAGTACTTTCTGCTTAAAACAAAAACGCATTTCAAATTGGGGCAGTTTAATAAATAACAGGAAAATACTTTTTGTAGCAGTAATAATGGTTGTTCATAGACCTCAATCAGCTAGAAATATTTAAAATATTTAGAAATTGGACTAGTACATTCTGAATTTAATTCAAGTTTATTTCCTCTGTATGAGCCCTCTCCTCAAAGTGATTCAAGCCGAGCACACATTTCAATACAGTATTCAATAAAAAAATTATGTTCACAAAAACCTACCTGGATATCCTTGGCCGTTGTAAGCAATGCTAGCACACTGGGATGAATCACAGTATCCAGGAGGCCCAGGAGGCCCTCTGATACCTGAATTACCAGGACGCCCAGGTGGACCAGGTGGTCCTCGTGAGCCTGTGGATCCTGGTGGGCCCATTCTGGATTCCCCTTGTGGACCTAATTTGAGAATGAAAAAGAAGGTAGTATAGCTATATAACAAGACAGGCCATAAAGTGGCTGGCGAAACTGAAATCATTCTTTAACATGATTCAGAAATGTTTCCATTTGGTTTCCACATATGGTGTCAATGAAACAGCCCCAGGGAATCAAAGATGTAACTCATCCTAAGTTGCTACCCTAAATTGATGGCTTTGGCAAGACTTGTGCCTGGTGGCATATAATCAATCTCTGTTAGATATGGGACATCAAGAAGATTTCTTACATTGAACAAGCATATTAGACATCAATTAAAGTATAGGACTGCTTTAGTTCTGCTACTCTGCAGCTTCAGAGTGAGTGACGTAATGTTTTCCTTGGAACATGTAATATTCAGGGTTAACAGAAATGCAGAGCTTGAATGAAGTGGAGTTAAAATTTGCTGCAAAAATGAAAATGTTCCAACTGGAAAATTAAAGGCAGAAATAACAAGAATTGGCCTACCCCTCCCAAGATATCAGTAAATTATCAAACTATACTAACAGTAAAAGGAATGTTTAAGAGCTCTTATGTTATACTCTGAATGTTATGGAACAATTTATAACTTAAGAAAGAGAGAGAGCTGCAGACAAATTAATCCTGACTCTATTTTTTTTAAGTATCCAAACATTTATATTGCATTGAAAAATAGAAAATCTGGTATCTCCAGCTTATTTATTTCTCATATCAGAAGCAGACTGGGAGTTCCGGTTTAATGTATTTTTAAAAAAAACACAAAGTTTAAGAACTTGGCATTATACTAAATGTCCTTTGACCAGTAACTGGCCACTTGGAGCGTCTCTGGTGTTGCTATATGAAGGTCCTCCACTGTGCACATGGCAGGACTCAGACTGCATTGTAGTAGGTGATCTGTGGTTTGCTCTTCTCCACACTCGCATGTCGTGGATTCCACTTTGTAGCCCCATTTCTTAAGGTTGGCTCTGCATCTCGTGGTGCCAGAATGTAGTCTGTTCAGCGCTTTCCAAGTCATCCAGTTTTCTGTGTGCCCAGGAAGTAGTCTCTCATTTGATATCAGTCATTGATAGAGGTTCTGGGTTTTAGCCTGCCACTTTTGGACTCTCGCTTGTTGAGGTGTTCCAGCAAGTGTCCCTGTAGATCTTAGAAAACCATTTCTTTATTTAAGGCATTGGTGTGCTGGCTGATATCCAAACAGAGGATGGGCCAGAGATGTCACTGCCTTGGTCCTTTCATTATTGGCTGCTACTTCCTGGCAGATGTCAGGTGGTGCAACACCGGCTAAACAGTATAATTTCTCCAGTGGTATAGGGCATATGTATCCTGTGTTAATGTGGCATGTCTCATTAACCGCCACATCCACCGTTTTAGCATTTTGAAATGTGTTCCACACTAGCCATGTATACTCAGCAGCAGAGTAGCAAAGTGCAAGGGCAGATGTCTTAACTGTATCTGGTTGTGATCCCCAGGTTGTGCCAGTCAGCTTTTGTGTGATATTGTTTGTAGCACCCATTTTTTGCTTGATAGTCAAGCAACACTTCTTATAAGTCAGAGCATGGTCCAGAGTGGCTCTCGGGTATTGTGGTGTGCTGCAATGCTTCAGTGGGATTTCTTCTCAGGTAATCCTCAGAGCTCGAGAAGCCTGTCTGTTCTTAAGATGAAAAGCACACATCTGTGTTTTTGATGGATTAGGAAACAGATGGTTTTCCCTGTAGTAGGCAATAAGAGCACCTAAAGTTTCTGAGCACTTCTGTTCAACCATTTCAAAGCTCCCTGCTTGGGTAGTGATGGCATGATCGTCAGCAAAGCTGAAACTCTCTGTCCCTTCTGGCAGTGGCTGGTCATTTGTGTAGATGTTGAACATGGAGGGAGCAAGCACATTCCCCTAAGACAGGCTGTTCTTCTGTTTTCGCCATCTGCTTCTCTGGCCCTGGAATTCAACAAAGAAGCTACTATTTTGTAACAGATTTCCTATGAAGCTGGTGAGGTGGTACCCCTTTGTGATATTATATTTTTTTGCTCAGGAGGAGGTGATTATTTACAGTGTCATAAGCTGCTGACAGGTCTACTCTAATCTGCTGACTTTCAAAACCATCTTTTATGTGCTGAGTCAGGTTTAGCACTTGTTATGTGCAGTTTTTGCCTTTCCTGAAACTAGCTTGCTGTGGAATCATGCACAGGTATATTTTTCCATAATTCAATGCAGAATAAGTCTCTACAGAACTAAGTAAAGATGGCACAGCAAGGAGATTGGTCTCTAGCTTTTTGGATCATTACAGTCTTTGCCTGGTTTTAAGATGGCTATGAATCTTGTTTTCCTCCAGATTTCGGGGATCTGACAGGATGCAATGCAGTTGTTCATCAGCTTCAACAACCAGCACCTTGCTTTTGAACCAAAGTTCTTAATTTGTTCCATCTATAGATCATGCCGGCCAGCTGCTTTGCCATTTTTACATTTATTGAGAGCCATGTCTAATTCAGTAGATGTAAAAGGTTCATGAAACTTATTGTTCTCACTATCTGGTTGTCTGACTACTGGTTTCCTTCCTACTTTGGTGGCAAGGTTGGGTTTCACATTCTTCAAAAGTTGGTGTGCTATCTGATCTGCCTTTATGTTGTCATGGGTATTAGTTTGTGAGGGGTCATTGCTCAACTGTCTTAGCAGCCTCCACGCCTTCTGGCTGCTCCTGCCCATGTTGACTTCTTTTATCAGCTTTATCCATTGTTCTTTCTTGGCTTCAGAGATGGAGGACACAATGCTCTGTGCTGCCTGAAGAGTTTGCTCACTAAATGGGTCTTCGTTGTGGAGCCTGTAATAGTCTTCCAACAAGACAGCTGTATCGGGAGTAATGTCCCGAAGGTAGTGTGTTCTGAAGCCTCTCGGTATAGAGCAGGATGTTACTATTTCAATAAAGTGCTTGTATTCTCCAAGGACTGGGGTGACCATTCTCCAGCTGAATACAGGTTGGAGTCCTTTTGAGCAGTCATTATTAACCTGTATCCATGCATTCATGATTGTTTTGTAATCACAATCTCTTTGTAACTTCCATTTAGCATCTACATAAGTACCATGAAGGGTCCCCAATCCCCATCTGGCAGGCAGCTATTGCTGCTATTAATCGGAACCTGTTCCCCTGTTGATTGAGAAGGAACTGGATTATGGTCCCACACCACATGCACAAGCCATCTCCAGTACATGGAGGAATTGTGCCGGGGCCTTGGTTCTGCCTCTCACTCTGGAGACTTTTCTTGGGAGGGAGTGGGAATGTCAGCTGCTTCTCAATTGATGGAGAGAACAGAACCTCATTGATCACAGCAGCTGCTACCTTGCAACTGAGGATTGTGCCAATCAGAACTGTTAACTACAATGGCTATACATACATATATTTTCAACAGGATTCTAGTCACAAACTTTAATACTTTTATTGATCTATAGAAGTAAAACATTTTTAAAAGTCTATTTGCTGTGATTTGAAAGTTTTTTTACAGAGATCTTTAACATGCAGGAAACTCACCTGGTGACCCAGGCGACCCTCGTGGTCCTTGTGTTCCAATTCCTCTTTCACCTTTCTCTCCAGCTAAACCTAAAACACACAAAAAAGTAGGGAAGGAGGCATTAAGCTCCAACATAAAGTGCCAGAAAAGTAACTGTTCAAGTTTACATATAATTTCCAGTTAATTTGTATGCCGCCCCCTCTCATTCCAAACAGCAAGGAAGTTTTATTATATCACGCTACTGTCCTGAGTAAATTTAAATTTAAAATATGTCATTTGGTGTGATGGCTATTTAGTATGGACATAATAAGCAGTGATTCACCAATCAAGTATTCCTATGTCTAACAGCACTTGACCTCTGATGAAGAAATCCATCTGCTTTTTAAAGATCAAAAATCTAGCCCACCTCTTTCTCCAGGTGGTCCCTGCATGCCAGGTGATCCTGGGAATCCTGGTCTGCCTCCAGCCCCTGGTTCTCCTCTTGCCCCAGGAGGTCCCGGCGGACCAGGGGGTCCTGCTGGCCCAGGCTGATAGCGATTTGAACTGTAATCATTTGGAATCTGATTCAGCATCTGGTTGAATCGAGTCATTTGACCTTGAAGAAGATAAAACAGATTAAGTAAAAACATACACAATACCATTACTCTCAAGGATTATCAAGATAAATAAACAAAAATCTTTCTCTCTGGGTCTCAGAAGACTTTTTCCAGAGTTAATTTTTACACAATCCTAGATTAAGTTGAGTGGGCAACACTGGTAGAGGGAAGGAAATTTTGACCGAAGATGAAACCAGCACAACTTAAACAAATAAATTAGTCAATTCACACATTCTGTCAATAAAATCAACCAACATTCTGACACTCTATATCAATACAACAAACAAAAGCAGAATAATATTGATTTGTTAGAAGCACCACTGTAGAGCAGTGCAGTGTGTGTACACTTCCAACATGACAAACTAGTCTTCTTTTATTAAATCAAGTTTGGAGCTGGTATTCTTAGACTGGAAAAAGCACGAAGAAATGGGTAGAGAAAATAGGTGTGACATATTGCATATAGTCATTTATAAGGCTAAAACATTTAGTCAAAAATAATTTTAAAAAACTTGGGTCAATGTATCATAACGTTTATAAAAAAAAGAAACCATCAAATTATCTGAGTAGAGTGGCGAAAGGTGAAAGTTTAGTCCATGCTGGAAGAATCTAAAAGAAGCACTACCACCACCATGACCATACTATAATGCCACCTCTGGCCTTTTTGATTGTCTGGGTGGGAAAACAGTGTCATTGCTGTCCCCTGGGGTGGTGCTGCTGCTTTCTGTTCTCTGTGGTTGCATGGTTTTTAATAATGGGTTTTCATGTTTATATGCTTTTAAATTTTATATTTTAATGTATATGTGGGATGGCCCCAAAACCTGCCCTTGACTTAAATATGAGGTTGACTTATGAGTATACACAGTACTTCTAAAACCATGGTGATTCAAATGGGAATGTCCTACTGTTATGTCTTACTATATGCATGTGGCAGTATGTCCATAGTGGACAAGATCATATTTTGAAACTCAGCCTTCATTTGTTTCCATTGATATTGCAGATGCCACAAGAGACCACATATCATGGGCAACAGAATGAGAAGCCAGACCTAGCAAGCAGCATTACTGCTGCCATATGAGAGCACTAATTTATTTATTTATTTACAGTACTTTTATCCCGCCCATATCAGTCCGAATGTGACTCAGGGGAGTGTACAAATCGGCACAATTAGATACCATATATAAATACATACATCGGTTAAAAACAAAAAAACCACATCATAATACATTTAAAACCAAAAAGCAATAAACAATAAAAATTATAAAAACTATGTCTTCTTGTTCAATTCCTCAACCATTCCATTGTGTCAGCCACATAAAGAGATATGCATTTTTAAGCACTGCTTCTACCAAGGTTGGACCCAAAGTAACTGGTTTAAAGAGGGGTAGAAGTTAATCTTAATTGGTCAATGTTTTAACCATCAACAGAAAGCATTTCCCCATCAGAAAGGCAGAACCTATCATAGTGTGGAAAATAGAAATTTGAGTTATGTTGTGTATTTCTGAAGCATCGCTTACCATTTATCATTTGTTCACAGACTTGTCTTGCAACAGCTCGCATCATATTCTGGGATGCAATATCTCCCTTAATAAATAGAACAGCAGGTGCATTAGACCATGGTGTGCATTTTTGTAAAAGATGATATGTAATGTTAGAAAATATAGCTGAATTCAATACTGTACTTACACGGTCTCCTTTTTCACCTTTCAATCCAACTGGGCCCTATAATAAATACAATTATCAAAGTATGTCATTGAACATTATATAACACAAGCAAATGGATTAAGGGGAACCAAACACAACCACAGTATTCACCACAAAATGTGCTTGCCAGAACTCCTGGGTTTGAACCAGAAATCTCATGAAACAGGTTCAGACAAGGACAGGACAACACACATAGGAAAATGATTTTCGAATTGCATGGTTTTTAATAATGGGTTTTCATGTTTATATGCTTTTAAATTTTATATTTTAATGTATATATTATTTCATTATATGTCTGTTTTATATGGCATTCAATTGTTGTTTATTGTAAGGCCGCTCTGAGTTCCCTTCAGGGTGAGAAGAGTGGGGTATCAATACAGTAAATAAATAAACACAGTCGGTTGGATTGCACTCAGGTCTGTAGCGAGGGGGTGGGGGGTTCAACCCCTCCCCCCAAAATTTTTCAGGTAAAAAAAAACCTGGTTTACTCATGAATTTTAACTGGTTAACCAAATCCCCATGCTAAGTCTATGAGACGCAAAAAATTAAGAGTCCCTCCAGAACTGCAAGCACTATCTCAAGCAAATATTGACAATTTATTCACACTGTCATTACTTGCAGCAATAGCCAATGTAATGAAGCAACCAAGTTGGGGGGGGGGGTGTTGAATGCTTTCATTAAGGAGGCCAGACTTGGTGGAGGTGGTTGACAGGGGCGGAGCTGCAGGCTACTGAAGGCTGCTCTGCCCCTGCTGTGCTCTTTGCTTCAGCGTGAGCTAAGAGGCAGGTTTCAACTCCCTCCCCCCCGCCGAAATTTTCAACCCTCCCCAAAAGAATTTTCTGGCTACGGCCCTGAAAGTACTACTATATATTACAGATGTGAGTGCTATATTTGAATGTTCTATTTTTGAAAATAAAATCCATGGCAATAACATAGAAATAAGAGGGAGAACAGAAGTTGTAGCTGACCTTCTTCCTGCTTTACTAGTTTTCTACAGAACTTGCAATGAAGCACTGGGATATAGGATCCCTCTCCTTTTATCTAAATGGTACATTCCATTTTCATCCCTCTGTCAATACTTCCCCCCCCCAATCTTCAATACACCAGAAATATAGGAGGAATTGCTACTGCCTCATCACACCAGAGCGTGGATCCACTTTAAATCCAATTTCTGCCTCCTGCAGAATTCTGGGATTTGTAGTTTAGTGAGGCCCAGGGCTCCTCTGGATGAGCAGTTTAAAGGCCCCTCCCTAAACTACAAGCCCCAGAATTCTGCAGGAGGCAGAAACTGGATTTAAAGTGGATTCCTGTTCTAGTGTGATGAGGTCCTTATTCCCATGTGGTAAATTGAATACTGCATGATTAACCATCAGAAATGCCTTAATTTGCAGTTGGTATTAAGATATCGAGCATCAAACAAGAAGGCACACTGAAACTTCTGAACTTGCTTTGTTCAGAACTTGCTTTCTCTTAGGCTGGGTGTGACTTGCCCAGGTCATCCATCCAGTGGGTTTCCACGGCTGAGCAGGGATATCAACTGCTACCTAGAGTCACTGTCTTGGCTTCCTATAAAATATATAGAATACAAATACCTCCCAAGGTGCCTTTAGGACTAATACATGGTAAATACCAAGAGTCTGACCTCCTGCTTTAGCCAGGCAGACAAAATGGTTATCTCCTACGTATTTCTTGCACTACAGGCTAGAGATCAAGGGACTCTTCGCCACACAACACGATTCCATTTCAGCTGCTATGGTTCCATCCTGTGGAATCCAGGGATTGGCAGTTCAGGGGAAGGGATTTAGCATTATCAGCTAAATCCCTCTGATCAAACTACAAAGTCCGAACTACAAAATACTATGATGCCATGGCACTTAAAGTGAAACCGCAATGCTACAATTGAGGTGTGTGAATGGGACCCAGATTGTTGGTGTCATGTCTTCCAACGGACTACAGAGATAGAATATTCAGTTTCTTCCAGCGTGCCACTAATATCACCTGCTAAACGTTATTTCACATCTTAGCTTTCACAAAAGGCTGGTAGATGTTTATTGATGTATACCCACTTCACTTAACTGTCTAAAAACTCTTGATTTGTTCATGTGGTTCATTGAATTTATAGGGTACTTTCTTTTTTTGTAGGTATTAAGTGTTTTTGACAACATGATCTCATCGTGTGGTTATATTCCAGATAAATAACTATAGAAGGAAGTCATTAATATTTTATTTATTCCTTATTAAGATATTTCCTCAGGAAATAATGACAGAAAAATGCTGCTTATATTATGGCTAATTCTATGCAGAAACTCAATAGGGTAGAATTACATTAATTTTCATTTTAAAAGTATAACAGTCTTTCTTTTGTTTACTCTAAAATGTTAACATGTGGAAACAGTTTATCTTCTTGATAATGAAATTTCATAATGAGCTGCCTATACAAGCATTTAAATGAATTGGAATATTCTGGCTTTCTTTGACAAAAACCTCAAAATTAAAAATATATTTCAATTGTTATCTCACCTTTCCTAAATAAACATGAAAAAGGAGGAAGATTTCACCTTTCCAACTGATTCTGGATTGCATATTCCCCCAACATTTCCCAGATGAAAACTGGGGCACGTGGGGCCAAGCAAGATCTGAGTGCGGTCTACACACTGACAGCAAGGCTGAAACAGTCACAATACTTCCCGTTCCTGTCCTTTCCCCCTCCAAGCTGAATACAAACTACTTTTCCACTTTGGATTCAGTTTTCAGTAGCTCACGTAAGCTGAGTATAAAAGGAGAAAGTGAAAGGAAGAGGAGGGAATCTCAGATGTTTTAAAAGTAGCTTAAAAAGTGAGCTGAATCAGGAATAGCTCTGCCAAATCAGCACAGTTAGCGGGTATGGGATTGGTGGGCAACCGCACGTATTTAATACAATGGAAGGAGCCCCGGTGGCACAACTTTTGTGCCGGCAGGACTGCTGGTTCGAATCTGGGAAGAGCAGGTTGAGGTCCCTCTGTCAGCTCCAGCTGCCCATGCAGGGACATGAAAGAATCCTCCACAAGAGTGGTAAAACATCAAACATCTGGGCAGCCTCTGGGCAACATCCTTGCAGACGGCCAATTCTCTCACATCAGAAGCAAGTTGCTCCTGACATGAAAAAAGTACTATAGAAACTTTTATACACACATAATCCAGTCTGTAAATGGAAATTTGCATGTGCAACTCTCATACAGTGTTTGGAGAATTTACACTCACTGTTTACATTCCTTTGTTAGCAAATGGAAGAGCCAAGAAGCCTCTTGACACTTTTCCTTGGGAACTGTAATTAAGAGTATTTAAAGTGTATACTGCAAACTTTCCAGAGCTGAACACAAATCATCACACATGGATATATTTATTGCCCCCTTTGAAATTAGTCATTGTTGTTTTGTCTTTCAGCAAAGTGGAATTCCTTGTTTCAAATCATCCCAAGAAGAGACATAACGTTGTTTGAACTATTGGACCATTATCAGCAAAACAACTCATCCAAATAAATCTCAAATAAATGTTAGCCATTTGAAAGCATGCTGCCAGTCTGTCACATGTGGAGAGAATCCATAAAAAGGTCTAGAGCCAGAAATGCTATGTCTGTTTTGGCCTTTAGCTCAGGTATATCTTTCTGAATTCTACACTTCTGTTACATTGCATGAATAAAGCTGGTAGCTTGTCCAAATACATTCAGACCAATGATGTTATAGCAGCAGCATCTAATAATTAAACCATTAATGCTATGTTACTTCTAAATTCATATTGCCTTCTGAGTGAACTCCAAATTTTGAAAATGGGTGTAAACATTTAGGAATATTTTGTGAATTTGAAAATAATAAATTAAAAATAAGTTTAAGGAAATGAGCATCGAGAGTGTTGTGTTGTAGTCAACTGTACTGTTTCTAACAGGTTTCATCATTTTAAGTGTACATTTTAAAAGGCTTTAATATTACTAATAATTTATATTAATGCTAACTTTTCATATTTTAAACCATGTTATTAACTAAGAGATAATAAGTAACAATTATAAAACAAAAAGATGAGTCTTTACTAGTTCTTTAATCATGAGTACCACTCTTTGATCAGGACAACAAAACTGACAGTGAGGAGTATCTTTCTAAATATCCAATGTGTCCTCATACTTTATAAATAATTGTTGATTGTTTTCAAGTCGTTTCCAACTTATTGTGTATCTAACTTGAACCTATCCCAAAGTTTTCTTGGCAAGCAAGATTTGTTCAGAAAAGTTTTGCCTTCGCCTTTCTCTATGGCTGAAAGTGTGGGACTTGCTCAACATCACCCACTGGGATTGGAAAGAATTTGCTGTTCTCAAATGTTTACAATGGCAATAAAAATGAACCTTTCCTGCATTTCCAAGTTATAGTGCTAAAATGTAGAAAGCCTGAGGTACACAGAGGTTAATATTGCTTGTTTCCCTAATCACCAATGGTCAAACTGCCAATATTTGACCAATATATAATTCATCACAAACATAGCAACCATAACATATAAAGACAAAAAGCTTTGGTGACAAAACCATTAAGCCTCAGGTATATTACTAAATTACACCTCAGATGTTTTATTAAATACAACTACCTCTGTCCTACATATCCTCTAAAACAGTAATATGATTTATGAAGCAAACAGATTGTTGTACCAATTGCACATCAAAAATAGAGCAGCAATGAAATGTGCTCAGTTGTAATGATATGGGTCAGCTGCCTTTGTTTACCAGTGCTATTACCCAGAATGATCTCATGTTCTGGGAGCTGGGCCCAAAACTTGGAAAAGTTACTTTTTTGGATTATTTGTTCAAGAATGCTCCAGCCAATATGGCCATGCTACCTAGAAGATTCTGGATTATAGTCCAAGTAAGTAACTTCTACAGGCTTTGGCTGTGTCCACGCTGAAATATTTACATGTAGTTGTGAGCCATTAATCCTGAGACTACTCTTTCATCCTTGGACTTAACCACATGTTTTGGATCTTGTATGACTAATATGATAGAGTGAACTACACAAAAAGCTACAACTTTGAAATTGGGCCATGTAGCTACAGGAGAGGCGTGGATGACTTTTACAGCTCAGCTGGCTACATTTGGCCCAGTGACCACACACGGCCTTGAGTTGCCCCATTAGCACTTCTTTATGGTCTAAGTATAGGTCCTGAGATCCCTTGTTCCATGGGGCTGAGAAAACAGCTGCATAAACTTCATGCCAGAGTTCCTGCTGGGATCCGGTCATAAAAACTTGAGAAGCAGCATATGTGGTGTCACGCAGGTGAGCCAGTAGCACAAGTTATAATACAGTAGAACAAGCATCAAATAAATAGTCACTACATAAACGGCTCCTAAAAGCAAGCATTGCTGCCCCTTTACTTTCTCTTCATTCTCTGCCCTGATATGCAGGCATTAGCATGTGTGAAAAGATAGGTCTACATGTAAAAAAAAACAATCTACTTATAGCCAGTGATCAGGCTGTGGTCAGCTCTTACTTTTTGTATTACTAGAACAGCATTCGTGAAAAATCCCAAGCAAAAATTAGAAAGGCCTAGAAGGTTCATCATGATGAATTCAGAAATCATTTAACCATGGAATCATTTAACTATGGAACCTGTGACATTACACAATCATAGCACTTTGATATCAGTTTTGACTGCCAGGACTCCATCCTATGGAATCTTGGGATTTATAGTTTTATGGGGTCTTTCAAAATCTCTTGCAGAGATCTCTAGTGCCTCATCACAGTCTCCATGATTTCGAAAGACATGGTTAAACAAGTATAAAAGTGCTATACAGTGCAGTTAAATTAGTGTCGAAATGCTATAACTATGTAGTTGAGGCAGACCTTAACCCAAGGAGGTAACTGAATGATCTTGAGACCACAGATATTATATACAAGGCCAACAGCTGCACAGCACAAAAAAAAAACAACTCAAAAACTCCAAGGTGATTGACCCAAAGCCGCATAGTATCTTGCCAGCCGAGATGGTATCAGATTTCCTCTCTTTACCTCTTCAAGACTATCCTGTGTTGCCTCAAGAATATTAACACAAGCAAAGAGATGGAAAGGAACTTTGTTCTTTCCCCATGATGTCTGGTATGGTGGATGTGAATGTTGTACTTTTTGCCCAAATCCAACATCATGCTTATATTTGGCCATTAGTGCAACCAGTCACTCTCCCCCTGCAGCCCTCCATATCACTTGAAAACCTCATCTGGATGGATTCCCAGTCTTCCAGGGCAAACGTTGAGAGTGCAAAACAGGACATTGCCCTCTTCTCAATTTTGCTGACAGAAGGAGTTCCAACACCAGAATTCCTCTATTAAGTCACAGCCTTTAATGCCAAATACTTTCCCACAGCAGTCGTGGCTAAATCAGACAGAGTGGCTCCAGCAATTGCAACTAGGACAAATGTCTGCTCCTTCCTGTTCTCTAAGTTAGTTTCAGATGCAAAACTCAAAGCAAAAAATCACCACAAAATATTAAGCCTGCATTGCTAATATTTCAATGTTTGCAATCCAATAGCTCTCAGAATGCTACCTATAAAAATTTCCACCTTAGGCAACATAGCATGTTTGACCATGCTTAAAAAATAATTATAATTCCAGTAAGTAATTCTGCTGATTTAGTTCTGGGATGTTTACATAGTGTAGAAATATAACGCTTGGCATGTACAGCCTGTGCTGTCTTTTTTAGTGGAAACCCCATGACCACAATTTCCAGACCCAACTCTTAAATTGCAAAAAAAGATGTACTGTAAAACTGTTTAAAATCAGACTTGCAGCCTTAACATTGAGATATTAACTGGTTTTTGTGGTTACTGTTGCATAATATGAGCCTGAGAAAGGTCTCTGCCTGGTCTGAACTTTCAAAAATATCTTTTTCACAAAATCATGCAAAAGCCAGACAGAAATTATCTTACCGGTGACCCACGATCACCCGGTTTCCCTGACTTTCCAGTTGGGCCAGCCACTCCAGGCACTCCAGGAGCACCCTGCAAGGAGATACATTGAGAAAGAATGCAATTATGGGACACAATAATGGTCTGAAGTATATCCGGAATGCAAACAAAAATCCCAGCCATATGAAGTGACATGCAATATTGTGCAAGACTTTGATTGTGTATTTGACCTCTCTCTTCTGGTCTGCTCTGAAGATCCAACAATCTTCCAGAGCATTTCTGAAAGACATGGCGCTATAGGATTAATATAGTCTGTAAGATTTCTTCCATTACATCCAAATAGTGAGATACCCATATGGTTACAGGGGAGATACATATGGAAACCTTTGAATCTGCTTGCTTTCATATGCTCATATTCTCCATGTTCTCCAATAATTCAGAGGTGAAAACTGGGACATGTGTGGCTGAGCAACATCAGAATGGTCAATATGACAAAATAGAAACACATAAACTGTAGAGGTTGAAGTGGTTTGCTTTTGCTTGACTCTACTGAGGAGGACAAGATGTCGCTCCCTGCTTTCTTCTCCTCACTTTTGTACTTTGAACTCAGCGCATAGCTGAGGACACAGGGATAAAGTGAAAGGAGTAGAGAGAATCCAGAATATTTAAAAGGAAAGTAAGATGAAATGGGATTGCCCCTGCCCAAATCAAAAAGTATGGGACTGGTGGGTTTTTCTATTATGGAAACCTTCAGATGTAATCTGCAGGGAACATCCCTCCCCAAAATCTAAACATCACAAAGTGTCCCCACAATGATATAAGATCAAGGGTGTCTGAATTAGTGGCTTTGTAGAATAGTGTGTACCCAAAATCCCTTCTTTATACATCTGGTAGCATGAAAAACAGTTCTGTCTCAAATAGATTGAATAAATATGTAGTTTATATATAGGTATTCAACGGTAGTATTTTAAAGCAATTTATTGTAATAATTCATTCAAACGTTTGCTTAAGGATTACCTTAGAAATCAACAGATTTTCCTTTAACTTCTTTTTCCCCAAGCAGCCACAAACCCCTTGATTTCTGAACGCTTGCATTTTTATAATCACATCAAAGCCATCAGTGTCATAAGAGAAATGTTCAAGCATCATAAAACATCATGAAGCTTCTAGTGTTCCCAAAGCTTAACTGTACCCAAAGTGATTTCCGCTTGACCATTTTCCAGCATAAAGAACATATGCAGACCACATTACCTGCAGCTAGCATTTGAAAAAATATTCAGCCTAACCATATGCACTCATCAAAACTTCACTTTGGAAGATGCAAAATTTATACAAGAAGTACTTTGTAAAGAAAAGAGGCAGAAGGTTGCTCATTTTTCCAGGTGATTTAACCAGATTGGATAACCAGGCATTACATAATAAGCAAACATAGATCAAACAAGTCAGACCTGACACAAAATACTGCAATGTAGAGTTCTACTCTTCAGCATTCAAGCCAGTCATACTCCATACTCCAATGTCCATGCCGTGACACTCAATTCCATTTCCATCAACCAATGTTATCTCTGTCCCAACAATCAACCAACATTCTATGACCACTGGGAATGCTCATTCCCCATAAGACTGGTCTACCACCACCATCATTTAGGATGTTTTTCATAAGGATGTTGTCGTGGAGGTGGGGGAGACTTCCAATAATTGTAGAGTTCTTCAAGCATGCTGGTGATTACCTCTTGCATATCTCTGGAGCCATTCTTAGATCCAAACTTAGAGATAGCATTAGTAAATTTTATAATAAATCAAAAAGACACTGAGAAAAGGACACCCTACCCAACCTCCAGTCCATTCCAAAGGTAGCACAAAAGGCACAAAATCTACATGTTTACATAAGACAAAAATAATAATACAAAAACAGTGACAAAATCCTCTATCATTCAGTTAACACTTACCATTGGTCCTGGAGGGCCTCTTGGTCCAGCTGGGCCATCTTTTCCAGTGAAGCCCTATCAGGGAAATTGATATTGTTACAAGGGAGGGAGGTTTATAAAAGGCAAGCAAATTACATGACTTTAAATTCATCATTCCGACTTTTAAATAATATTGAAACATTATTCCAAGCATATATGCTATCTAGTTTTTGATCTAGGAAGTTTAGATTACATGTTTCCCACTACATCACTGTCACTGTAATGTGCCTTCAAGTCAACTCTACTTTACAGTGGTCCTATCATAACATTTTCTTGGCAAGCATTGCCTTTCTATAAGGCTGAGAAAATACAACATGCCCATGTTCACCCAGTAGGTTTCCAATCTGAGCCATAAGTTCTTGAAGTTCTAGAAGTTCTAAGCCAGCATTCAAACCACCTTTACAAGAATTTTGATGCAAAATAGCAAGAATTTCAATCCACAAATCTGTTCTTTCTCTGAATGTTTGATGAAGAATGGAATCGTCCATTAAAATGTATCCCTGCTGCTTGCTTCTCTCTTCCTTGAAATATATGTATGATCAAACACTTCCTGGTCTTTCATGGCATCATTACATCATTGTACTAAGAACATGCTCTACTGATCTTTCTATATAATGCCAAAAAATCCCAGTTGTCTACTCTGGAGAAAGCTGATATAGATGCCACCAACATGAATGCTTGCCCTCGAAAGTCAAGCAAGAATGGAAAACATCTGCATTTGACTAGTCAAAACAGATTGCTATATTTGACTGGTTAATTCAAACATGAAAGAACTGTGCAGTTTACATAATGGAACAGATCTGTTAAGTAACAAACAAGTTTCTTTATTTCAAATTATACCCTTTCATTTTGGGTCCAGGTAGATTCTTGATTTGATCAGATTCTTTGCTCTAGTGGTTTATTGACTGCTTTACTGCACATACAGTCAACATTTATAACTTAGCTTAAAAATTTGGATGATGACAAACAGATTTAAATCTGCACCCTTCCACCCATCTACTATGGATATGGAGGTGTTAAAATGGCAAACCTCCTCCCTCCACTTATGATGGTTAAATTTTTTAGGACAGCATGAGGAACCTTCACCCTTTGTCATTCCCACAGTCTTTCCTTGAAGAAATCCCTTACACCACTATGTTGAAACTATGTAAATATCACCTATCTACTTTCAGAGGCAACAGTAGTACCATCCACTTATTTAATACAACATGGATATATGGCGTAGGGAACCATAGTTCCTGGTGCAAGTATTGAAATGGTGCTCTCCCAACATACTTTTAACATGGGGAAATTAAAATCATTTGGCTACCAAATGTTCATGTGACCAACTGTTGCAGAGTTCAATTGTTACATCACATCACCCATTATGGGAAAGAAAAGTTTACTTACCCTATCACCTGGAGGTCCCATTGGACCAGGAGGGCCAGTTAAGCCTGGAGATCCCTGCAGAAGAGAGAAAAAACCAACCACAAAAGGTCACTGAGCTATGTAAGTTAATATTTGTATTATGCATAATCATCTGTATTCAAGACTCCTAATTTTTTCTCATGTTGTTTGTTGGCAGCATGCAGAAGAAGCAAGGAGGAAAACTTGTTCGATAACATCAGCATCTTGTACATTTTGCTTAGATTCTTCATTTGTGTTTGTTTTCCTTTGAAAAACAGTACATTTTAAAACCATGTAGCATATAAGCTTGTTGATAAAGTTAACCATAAAACAATGTTTACTATGTGTGAGAAAACCTACTGATAATCATAAAAGTTTAATTCTATTTTCCTCTTTTTTGGATGTCTTGAGTCTTTGATATCTTATCTGTTTCATCAAAATCTAGCCCCATTTCACTATACTGTTTCACTCATTGTACATTTGGCATCAGTTCACACTGATATGCTCTATGTAATTCTTTTGCAATTTTTCTTTAAAAAGTGTTTTGTCTCTTTGTTAATGGACCTAAAAGGAAATTTGCCCATACTAGCTGACAAGTGAGCCTACCATTTATGTTGATGTTTGGGGAGCTGTGGAAAGTTAGTGGTATGGGGCCATCCTACGACAATGAACTTACCGATCGACCTGGTAGCCCGGGCTCTCCAGCATCACCTTTCAACCCCTGGCGGCCCTAGAATAAACAAAGAGTGCATGGTTATTACCTGCAAAAAAATCATGTTAATAATGCAGGTGCAATAAATACCCACTAAAATAAATTGAGATAGTCTGTGTCCCTGATTTGCAAACCAAGGAAAGGACAAGTCTCTGACAGCACAATCATTTCTGTATTTGTTTAGACAATGAAGACAGTGAAGACTCAGTTCAATGGGACTTGATCCCCAGTAAATTCATTTTAGATTGAAATTCTGAGCTCTTTTTATCCACCTTTCTATAACATTTACACCTCTTCCTACTAGTCTCACCCTAGAATAGCACTTTGAATACAGCATTAAATAAACATATTCTTTTCACACACATATCAGTAAGGGGAGAGTTCCCAATAGATAATTTTCCAGTGATGTCTCTCTAAAATAAATCACATCTGAAGCACTGAAAAGTGAAATGAAAGCTGTGACAGACTGTAGCTTCCTTCAATTACTAAAGCAAAGTAGGCAGGCATGCAAAGTGTGGCTTACTTACTGGCTCTCCTGTAATAGAAAGTCCATTTGGCCCTTGTGGTCCCGGTGGGCCTTGAGGGCCTGGTGGTCCTACATCTCCACGAGGACCAAGATCCCCCTAAAGTACACAAGGGAAAAATCAATAGTTAACTATCAGTCTCTTCCAAAGCAGAGTCTCAAGGAAGAAATGTAAAAGATGTTTTTAAATTGAGTCTTGCCATACAGTGACAGTGTTTAATAATTGACTGTCTAAGAACGTGTGGGTTGCCTTTCATTCTACAGTAGTTCTCTCTGTATCTTTTAATACAGCAATAAATGCAACAGCTTCAGGATAAAATATTGCCTTGTCGATTAAGTTATCCCTTTTTAAATGGATCATGTAGAGAGCTATGTAGTTTGAATATGACATTGTTTTGGATTACTATAATGCACTCCAGGCCCGTAGCCAGGATTTTCTTTCGGGGGGGGGGGGCTGAATTTTTTCAGGGGGGGTTCGGGGGGGCTGAGTTTCGGGGGGGGGGGCGGAGTCTGAGTGAAAGAGGGTCTAGCCTAGCAAACCTTTTGTATCATTACCCCAATACCCCCATGCATATGGGATATATTGAGTATGGTGATCAGACCATGATATGAATAAACATAACAGTTTAAATAATGCACCAGTAAGGCCTTTTCGCGAACCACCATGAGAATTTCGGGGGGGGGGGCTGAAGCCCCCCCCCCCCCCCCCCCCCCCCCCCCCCCGCACTTTAGTTGAGCTAGATTTAAGGGGTGGTAATAAAAAGCATATAATGGCCTTGCTGAACCAGATTCACTGGTTAATGGCTTGTTTCTGGGCACAATTCAAAGTACAAGCCATTACCTACAAGCCCTACATGCCCACTTTGGATTTTCAGGAGAAATGAGAACTCGGAAAGAGCTTTCCTGATGGTTGCTTACAGGATATAGAACTCTTTTTCAAGGAAGGCTCAGTTGCTCCGCTCTGCTCTTCGTTAGCACAGAACTTCTTATTTAACCAAGGCTTCAGCTTTTAACTGCTTGGGGCAGTTAAAAGCTAAATGCTAGTTCTTAATTAGTTTTGATGTGTTTTTAACAGTTCTAAATGAGTGTTTTTAAGTAGACTGTTGCTTAATCCTTTTTAAATATTTCTTCTGCAAATTGTTTTTGCTATGTTTGTAATGTACACTCAAGCTGCTCCGGGCCCCATATGGAAGAAAAAGGAGGCTCTTATTTAATTGATAGATTAATTAATCAACTTTCCCATTTAAAAAATGTAATTCAAGTTATATTTTTAAAATACAGTGGAGTCTACTCAGAGACAATCCCCACTGATTCAACTGAATTGTCTCACAGGTAGGGGATTGTAGCCTTAAAGTGCAAACCTGTATTTGCCTACTTAGAAGTTAGTCCCATTGTGCTCCGTGGAGCTTACTCCCAGATAAGAGCAAATAGGATTGCAGCCAGGATCTACTTTATGAAGATACTCACAGGAGGTCCAGTTAAACCTCTTTCTCCTCTTGGGCCTTTAGAACCTGGGCCACCCTGAGAAAATGAAAAAAACCATGTAAATAATAAATAATACTAATACGTCAATAATAAATCACAATATTTTCTTTACACAGTGCTATTATCTTTTTCCATGCATGAAAGAAATAAATTCTCCACACAGCCCCATAGGAGTGAAATAAACACACATATAAATTTGCTTATGTGATCTGGTCAATTTCACCACCTCAGTGATTGACAATGATGTGAGAGAATTTGCTTCACACACACACACACTTATTCTTCTCAAAAGGTCTTTGCCCATTGAAACAAATCTTCCACTGGATTTGTGCCAAATAGGTGTAACCAATTTTGACTGAATTCATGCTAGGATCATAGTGATAGTAATGTGGAAGAATACTTCAATTTTCTGCACTACATAAATGTGCTGCATTTACATAGAGTGCAATAAGTCTCAGCCTTGCTTCTAGCCCCAACCTCCCACCCCCACCCCTGATCCATAGCTCACAAAAAGGAAATGTTAGTGGGTATATGGTTGTTGTCTTCAATTGTCAAGTGGCTCTTGGTGATATGTAGACTTTATGATTACAATATATAGTGTAATGTTTGAACTTTTCTGGTTCTTACCCATCTCTTAGACCAGTGGCTCTCAACCTGTGGGTTCCCAGGTGTTTTGGCCTACAACTCCCAGAAATCCCAGCCAATTGACCGGCTGTTGGGATTTCTGCGTGTTGAAGGCCAAAATATCTGGGGACCCACAGGTTGAGGACCACTGCCTTAGACTAATGAAGTGTTCTGGAAACCTGACAGTTTGCATATCTAGGGGTCAGTGTGGCAGGTTCTAGTAAAAGTCTTCTCTGGCTGTGATCCTCCCTATCCCTTTCCCCACATCATGGATCAATAGAGCAACTTTGATCTTTCTATATATTTGTATGATTAGTAATCATAATGCATCAATTTCTGCTTACAGCTGGTCCTGGAGGTCCTGGGGGTCCCACGCTGTCCTGTGAACATGTGCAGGCATTTGGCAACGATGGGCATTTAGCTTCATCCCTCTAAAAATTAAAACACAATCTTCTATCACTTTTCTTCCTCAGAAAAAAAGGTGATATTGATGAACATCCTGGTGTTTTTGCCATACTGTTAAAAGAAACCCTCTAAAAAATCTCACTTGGAAATCTAATAAAATTCAGCACTAACGCAATGGTCTCTGGGCAATGGTGAACTTAGGCTGGGCATACCTTGCTAATATGGTGGGCTAAGTCCCAGACGACTGTGGTAAAATGAGTATAAACTCAAAGCACATCAGAGGGTTTTTGTTCACATGGCAGTGAATATAAAAGTCTAAAACACATGTATACTATCACTGACTGAGTGCACAATAGTTCTAGGCTTAAATAAAGATTCAAAAGTAAATAATAATAAATTAATAATTGCAAGAACACAGTTTTGAGAATCAAAGTGTACAAATGCTGAAAACAGACAGAGCATGGTAATAAAATAACATAATGCACAACTGAAAAACACTGTGTTAGTAAAGTACTAAAGTAAATGCCTTAAGGCGAGGTATGCCTTTAGTACTTTAATTATTCATTTTAGTAATACTGTAGGATACGAGAATTAAAAATTTTGGTTATTCTAGCACGACAATTTATTTCACTTATTTTTCTTCCTTCCCCTCTTGTTCTTGATAGAGGTGTCACAGTATCATCATATCTTCATCATTACCCGGACTTCCCTCTTTTTAATAAGAATTTGAGCTACTATAGATTAACACAAATTCATCCTTCCACTAGCATTACCTTAAAATTTGGTTATTTCAATTCTAATTTGTGATTCCATCATATATTTCACTCCCATACAAGACCAATTAAACTATCATTACATCATCTTCATCATTATTAAAGAAATTTATTTAGACATGCATGCCTATTGTAGGTGAAATGCCAAAAAACTCTTAGCTCTGGTTTGATGAGGGAAGGCAACAATATTTGGAATGTCTCTAATAAAATGTTTGTACTCCAGCCTTGCATGTGTGAGAATGGTTCCAATAGTTACATGAAGAATTTGTAATTACTGACAGAGGCTTTGACAACACATACCAAGTCTCTTATTGTATATTGTTCTCTCTGCTGCTATTGGCTTAGACTGTTGATATGCAACATTGAAATTGTCAAGATGTTTTCTTTATATTTACCCTAGAAGGAATGTCACAGCATCTATCTCTGCTGGTCCAAACTGCATTGCATACGATGTCAAAGTTCTGGATCTCAAGCTATAAAAGAAAAAGATAAATGCATTTAATGTTACATCTATATGAAATTTCAAGAATATACTCATGGAATATTGGGCAAAAATAATTCCTGACCTACAGCTTGGATAGTATAAATACCTTTATGTTATTGTATGGATAGTTGCAACATAGGGCAAGTCTACATAAAATTAGGCAGTGACAAGATTGTTTAATGCAATAAATGCTCTTCATACACTTGCACATGCACACATACACAGATATTTCATTATATATAAATTGCAATGACAGAAAGTTCCTTCAGACAACTAGAAATTTTTTCCCAGCCAAAGTTTAAGCAACTCAAATTGTCTTAAGACTGAGTCATGCTACCATTGCCTCAGAAGTCCAGCTTCTCTTCTAGGGCAAATGTTATGGGAATCTCTTGCTGATTGTCATCTATGGATACTGAGGAATCTTGATGGAAGACAGTAATATAGCCATATCCTGGTTATTTGAATCAATATTTTGTTGGGATAATTTCCCAGCTGTATTTTACTTGTTTCACATCACATGCGATTCTAACTGAAAGTATCTAATGACTTTTTGTATCTTTACTGAATTTACCATTTATTACAAATGAGTCAAAGCAGTTAATGGAAATACAACTGATCCAGAGTTACAACCTCATCACATGAGGTCTGGGCTCCGTAATAGGATGATTTCAACACAGAGCCAGGATGGAGCTGGACAAAACCCATCAAATGATACAGGGCTACTTCCGGCATGGCTCCACCCTAGCTCTGTGTTGAAATCGTCCGTCGCTCCCCTTGTTCTCATAAGGTAGAATGGGGAAAGCATGGGGAAAGCCCTGTGGGATTGGGAAAGTGGCAATGCAGGGTGATGGGTTCCCATGCTGCCCACCAGATTTGCTTCGCTGTCCAATGAATGCCCCCGCTGTTCTCCAGCTTCAGAACCTGGAGGTTCTTAATCTGAAGTATTGTGTGTGTGTGTGTGTGTGTGTAGTAGCATTTTGTATATAATTCAGGAAGTGCTCATTCATTATCATTTTCGTCTCGCATCTGATGAAGTAGGGTTTCACTATGAACTCCAAGCAACCCTACATTTATCTTTATCATGTTGCTTAGCTCCATCTACACTGACAATTTTATGCAGTTCAAAGCTAGCTTCAAACTGCAATGCCCAGTAACAAACTCCCACTAAAATGTGTGAAAGAAAGCTCTTAATGCTCATCAGTGCTCTGTGGTTTGTATAATCGTCATCTAGGCTCAAATTAATTCCAGGATTTGCTAATCATCTGCATAGCGAAAGCATTTTCTTCAATACTGGTTTGAAATTGCATTAATAGTCAACCTAGATTGGCCCAATGTGTTATTTATGGAAACAGATATAACACTCAGGCAAAACAAACACAACAACATCCACTAATTTATCTACTGTGCAAAAGGCTTCTATTAAGGAATTGAAAGCATACTTTGGGTGTACTCTGAAATTATAAATGAGTAAAATACTTACTGCAGCTGTTTTCCTATCACCTTTCTGCAGTTTGCCAAGTATCTCATAACCATCACTTGTAATATTCCCACCCTCATTTATTGGTTTTTCCAGGATTTCAACACAGTCAATGTAGATCTTAGCACTTGTGGGTGTTACAACAATATGAACCTGTAGGAAGAAAGAATTTAAAAGAAATATGCATTAGGAATGAGCTTGAGTATCACACGCAAAAAAAGCCTTTCTAGATGAAATTGGCAGCTTCATTTTGGCAGCCTAAATCCAATGCGGTAGTGGCACTGTAGCACCAGAAAGAATGGATTTTCTTTTTCTCACCTCACACTACTACCCTTAGGAAGTCTTTTTCAGAAGGTGTCCCACTTTTGAGGAGCGACTCTTGGAAAGAACATAGAGTGTGCAGCATTTTGTGCCCTGATGGATTCTGGCAAACATTTTTCCTTCCACTGAAATATATTGTGATGCACAAGCCAGTGGATGACCTTTGAACACTACTATGAACACTGAGTTCTTGATCAGGATATGTGATTGTGGCAAGTCAAAGCCAAATAATGTAAGAAACCTATTTGCTATATTGGTAGTTTTTTATGACAGTGTCAGATTTTTTTCCTATTTGTTTTCACATTTCAACTTTCAGTTTTCCTTTTTCCTGTTGCACTTTGAGATTATAGTATTTCTGATTTTTACAATTTTTGACTCAGAATGTGAAACAAGAGATTAACAAATCATAAATATGTGTGTGGAACCGGGGGGGGGGGTTATTATTAAATGTAAGTATTCAGAAAAATGTTCCTTTTTCAGTCATTCCATTTTGCCATCCAAAGAGGGCAAAAAGAAGCATGGTGGGTTGACTAATTATCATTATGAATGATATCACTACCATCTAGTGTAATTGAAGACATGGATGTGACTAATGACATGTTTTTGCAAGCTTTGTAACAAGAAAAGTCTTCACAATGTTTGCTTTGCATACTTCGGAAAAGATGATTATCTGGTAAAGATTTTGTTTGGGAAAGAGGAATATGCTTCTCTTGGAAGACACATATGACAAAATATTATGGGACACAGACCAAAAGCTGAGTAACACATCTAAGCCACAAATCCATGAGAAATGAGAAACCACTCCAACACTGTATTTTAGCTTCCAAACAGAAGTTTAATACAGTTCCCTCATCAATTGCACAAAACCTCAAGGGTTCCTTGCCATTTTACCACCAAGATCCAAAGCTGTTTTTCAGTATAACTTTTCCTGTTTTCTTGTATTTTTACAGCTGAACCGTAAGAAAAAAACCCCTAAATATCTCCAGATGTTTATAATTATAGTTTCCTTAACAGAAACATTGTTCATAATTTCTCATAGGCAGAAGAATTTTAAACTTCTCGATTCAAAATTAAGTTCTAATAAGACCTATGAATTTCCTCCTAGAAACTGCATTTATGTATGACCTCAATGTTTATTGTTCTATTTAATACACATGATGGGAAATGTACCACTTATATTGGGGTTGTATTGGGATGTATACTGACACTTAATCACACGGTTAGATTTCATAGAACATGCTGCAAATTGCTGAAGTATATTTCCTATTACCTCCATAGAATTAATGTTGAGCAGACTTGAAGTGAACAAAGCAGCAGCTTATCACATGACAGAATTATAGTGTTACTATAATTATATCTTGTAAGCCGCTCTGAGTCCCCTTCGGGGTGAGAAGGGCAGCATATAAATGCAGTAAATAAATAAATAAATAAATAAATAAATAAATAAATAAATATTCAACTTTAGCTGCCATTGTTCTGACCTGGGATTTAGAGTACAGGCAGTCCCCAAGTTATAAACATCTGGCTTACAAATAACCCATAATTAAGAACAAAGGTGAGACAACAGAAAGTGAGAGAAATCTACCTCTTGGAAGGGAAATTCACTCCTGAAAGAGTTATCATGGGGAAAAGGTGGCTCAACTGAAGCTTGATCATCAATCCTTGTTCCACAACAAGCCAATTTTTTCAAAATCCAATTATTACAGGGACAGAAAGTGAGGTGAAATTTTCTGAACAGGGGCACAGACAGCAAAAGTAACAGCACACAGGAGTAGCATAGGATTATGCTTTGGATAGCATAATCCTTCCCTATGCTATGTAAAGCTTGGATGGATGGATGGAGGTGAGGGATATGGGCAACTACAATAGTCTTTTTATGAAAAAGAACAATAGTTGGCTTGTAGATAGTTGGGGCCGAGCTATGTGAGCATATCTAGTTTGGTTTGTAGTCCCTTGAAATGGCAACACAAGGAAAGCAAATAGTTGTGGAAGAGTGCTGGAAGAAGCTTGTCTCCGATATGGAAAGATGAACCCTGCACAACCCCTGCCCTTTTTCATATCCTACAAAACAACAATGTAAAGAGAGTTTGGGTCAAATCCTCTAGGTCCTCTCATTTTCTGAGAACATATACAATGACCACGTGATGCAAAAGAGCCCAGATCGGCTTGGTGGCAGCCAAACTGCCTTATCTATTTTAAAAACAAAGCTGCCTCATACATTTTAAAAGCAAAGATGCAATTGAAGGAAGCTGAGCACTTTTGTGGAAGAAAAATCACACAATAATTTCACTTCCTGCTGTTTTTCTGTACCATATAACCCACACTAAATTCCTTTATTCCTCTCTTTGTTTTCCCCTCTATAGTGAAAATTGAGCTGGAGTTCAGTTTTGAGTTTGCAAGCAATAGAGAGGGAATAAGTTAAGGATCCCTTCCCCACTGTCAGCCCTCAACTCTACTCCTGTGGGAGTTTTTAAATTTATAAAAAGTTTGTAAAATGAAACCAACAACTTTTCTTCACATGTATTTTGGCCCATAATAGGAAGACAAAGAATACGAACCATCTGCTTCTATAAGAGTTCTTTGATGGGATTTTAATTGCTGCCTTACTAAGCCAAATTTTTCCCCAATTGAATTGCATAAACTATCACTATACTCATGCAATTCAATGTCCAAAAAAGTATGCCAAAACAAATTTTACACAAATAGCCAAGATTAAGTTAGCTATTTTTCACTGAATGAGTGTATAACTCATTTAATGGACATCACCAAAATATTTTATATTTTGGAAGGATTCAATAATTTGGCATATTTTTATATATGATGATTTTTAATGTGTTCTGTATTTTTCTCTTTTACTATAGTTGGGAGTCACTTATTCCTCCCCCTCCCTTCACAGAACCCATTTACACAATTCAGTATTTTGAGCTTTAAGAAGGAGATAGGCATATCTTGAGAGGTCACTGGTCAGATTATATGTGGTCTCATTCTTTATTTAAGTCACTTGCTTCAAACATGGCAGTTCCGATATATACAGACGACTTTTCCATTCAGTATGATACAGTGTATGCATAGGTCTAAATTGTCTTCCAATGAAATTATCATAAACTTCCTATGCATGTGCATATATTTCCTATATATGCTGCAACCACATCATGCCTGTGGACTGGCATGAGCACAGTGATTAATCAATATTGCCAATATTGTTCATGCTTCCCCATCTCCAGTCATTTTGTTTAGTAACAGTCCCTATGTTAGTGGTCTGAGTTCCTTGAATATCTAGAGAGCCACTGCCAATTATGTAGCGTATGGGCAGAGTATCCATCACATGATAACACTACCTTGTGTATTGACTTGTGCCTCACATAATAATCAGCAGATAGAATCTTGACATAGGGGCAAGTGCTGTGTCTAGAGTCTAAATCCAAGTTGAGCAAGACTGAAGTCATTAAATCAATGGAATTTCTTTAAGTATCGATGTATCAAGTTATCATTGATTTGTTTGGTCTTTTCAACTTGGAACTAGCAATAGAATGTAGGCCTGATATGTTTCTTTCTTTTATTTGTAGACATCCTTTCGAATGAAATTTCAAATCCCACAGTCAGCCATTAACTTGGATACATATAGCAGGCCTACATTGTTTTTCATAACAGGGCAAAATTCCACTGAACACGATGAGATCTTATTTCTGTGCTAAAATGGATATTGCATTGGATGTGTTCAACCTATCCTAATCTTATGAACTCAATAACAGTTTCTTGAACTGAGTTATAAACTATTACATCTGCAACTGGTAACAAATAAGAAACCCACCACCCCCTTTTTAAAAAGAATTGCTGTTTATATACAATTGTTTTACCTTGTGGAAACTTCCATAAAAGAGTTTCTTAACTTCATCACCTTCAAATGTAACTGTCTGAATCTCTCCCCTTGTGTCCTTATTAAAGAACGATAATACTTTGTTGGATGCTAGGGATGAAAGACATCTTATTATAGATAATAGTGTAATATAAATATTATAGATCAATTTGTAATATAACATAAAATTGTTAAGCTAGCATTGTATACAGTATAATCTCTTCCAAATGTAACTGTACATTGAACATGCCTTAATGTACAGATGTTTATAACTTACCTGCCTCAGATTTAAGACAGGTGCTAACTGGGTAATCCTAACCCTCTTTGAAAAACGTATTCCCACCCAAAGTTCAGACCCCAATTTAGGGAGTTCTGGAAACTGCGTGAATAGCCAGCTGGGACCCTCTTGTGTTCTTCTACTCTGCCTAATGTAGCTTGCCAGATCTAAAATGCACTAGGAAATCAACACTTTACTTGGTTACCCCATCCCAAACAGAACTGCTCTATACCACATAACAACATAAAGCCAAAACACTTCCATCTGTGTTTTCATTCTGCATGGTAATGTAAATTATTAGAGTTCTTGGGATCTAAGTAAATTTCAACCTATTATATTACCAAACTTGAAATATGTCTTATTAGTACAGAATGGAATTCATCCACTGTTGCTGAACAGAACCAGCTCTTTGGAATGAATCAAAGAGAGTTCAAATTGCCTAATCCCTCTATGCTCATTGCAAAAGACTAATATGTGAAAGAAGCTTCTTGGAGTCACTAATTCACCAGCCCCTCTTCCTCAAGCCAAGGCACTACATGAAAGGAGCATGATCTAGAACAACTCTTTGAACTCCAAACATTAAAATAACATGAATTTTGCATATATCCATTTATTCTTTTGACATGCTAAACTATGATTAAGTAGAGCAACATCTGGTATTCGTTAACTGTTCACAAATGGTCACAAAGAAATATTTTCTCTTTCATTGAAACACTTAGTAGTTAGATGGGCAAATACAGGAAAACTCCCGCTACGATCCACCTAGGGCCCTAAGATCATCTGGGGAGACCCTGCTCATTGTTCCCCCATTGTCGCAATCACATCTGGCGGGGACAAGGGACAGGGCCCTTTTCTATGGTAGCCCCCCTGGCTATGGAACTCCCTTTCCAAGTGAAATTAGATCCGCTGCATCCCTCTTGACCTTCCGGAAACAAGTAAAATCCTGGCTATGGAATCAGGCCTTTGTAGATTAGGCTGACTTGCTGACATGTTGACTTATATAGAACTGATAGACTGCCCTTGGATGATGATTTAAACCGGTGACTGCTGACTGATTGATTGATTGTTTTTATACTGTTTTATATGGTTTATACTGTTTTATATTGTTATTATTATATTGCCATTAAATTGTGTATCCATGTTTTTGATGTGGGCGCAATGGGGTGCCGATTTGTTAGCCGTCCTGAGTCCCTCTGCGGGGGTTGAGATAGGATGGGATATAAAAGCTCGAAATAAATAAATAAATAAATAAAACTTGAGGCAATATTTAGCTATACAATTATTATTTTGCATTTATACATGGGTGAGATATATTTTATTTGTTAGACCTTTTAAAGTATCATTTGAGATCAGAATTGTTGGGAAATTTCTCTGCAAATTATCAGATCCTTAGCATAATTGCAAATGTGTGTTTTTAAGCCTCAAGTCAAAATAATGTCTGACTTACAAAACAGATTGCATCAGCCACCTGTGGCTTGAGTCTTTATAAAGTTATATACATTCTATATAGCTATGCACATTTGTTTCAATTAATCTCTGGATTTTATGCCCAGATGATCCTCTGAGAATAATAAATTTGCCAGGCCTTGAATTAAAATATTTAACATTTTACTATATAAGATCATATTGACTTTGAAATATTAGAAAAGGAAGAATAAGAACTTAGCTTTCAATTTCCATTCATACATTGTATTCATGCTAAAGTGAGGGAAAATTCTTACGGTCAAGAACAACGCCAACTTGTGGTTTGTAATCTCTGTCTGTTATCTGCCAAATTGCAAATGGTTCAGTGGGGGTTTCCGGTAGAAGACGGAATAAAAATATGATAGTGTAAGCCTTTGGTAATCCATCTGGATGAATCTCTCTAACAAGGAAAGCAGAAATGTGTCGCTCATCAGAAAAAAAAAAGTGTAAGAAAGGGTTTTTGTGTTAACTGTTTAACTGCATTAGAACATTACAAAGGAAGTAACAACATTTCAATTCACTCAAAGCCCAAAAGCCATAGATATTTGTTCCACAACTAAATGAGACAGTCTCATTTTAAATCCTTTGCTAGAACTCTAAAACGCTGTTCCTCCTGCAGTGGAGTACTTTTACAGAGTAAATTTTATTAGTCGTTTCCATAAAAAGCAATGTGAGCAGGCAAAATCAAAAGAGAGCTATAAATCCTAGACATGTTGAAGAACTAGAGAAGCCCAAATTATTTGAGAAAGGTGATAGTTCTTTCTGGGCATATTTTTTATATCGTTGGACCAAGCAAGCATCATCCTTTATCCCAGCAAGTGTCCAGCACTTGGGCAACTCTCCCCCACAATTTAAAAGCCTTCCAAGAAAAGAGGGACAAGAGCCTACCTTGTGGGCTGGCTGACAAAGGCATTTTTCTGAAGCCTATATGCCATGTAGCTGGGGAAGGATCCTGACTGCAAGGAAACTCCTGGTACAGAAGCAAAATACTTCTCTGTTAAGTTGTAAGCTTCCAGCATCCTGAACCCTGGAAGGGAGAATAAAAGAATGGAGGAATTTCAGGAATCAAATTGAAGTGAGACAATTACTAGATTGAAGCATTTTCTACATAGTTTTTGTCTTACCGGGAGAGGTATATCCATCCAAGTACATGAGAGGGCAAGCTGAAACAGAGAAAAAAATATGTCAAATGAAATAAATCAAGAGCAGCAACATTTTTGTTAGTCTGTAGTCCTGAACAAATGGTGATTGTGAGGCTGGTGTGATGGGAGTTGGAGTATAGCACATCTGAAGAGTGCCAGATTGGGGGAAGCTGAAAAAGCTCCTCCTATGGATTTTCTAGAAAGAGGATTGCAAGACGGAGCGCCCTGATGATTGCAACCTTTCACACTACATCAGATGTCACTTTGGACACACCAAGTAACTTTGCTGGTATAGTGCACATGTGGGAGGTTGCACAAAACACCACAAATCATTACCCAAGGCAGAAACAATCAATTGCTTTTCACACTAATCTAGAAAATTTTGATAAACCACACTCAGACAGCATTTAAATTCGATCTGCACAGTGTGACCTTTCGCACTGCAAGAATATATACAAGGGAAGTTACCCAAAGCTGAATGGTTCCTGATTAATACACATGCTGGCACTTTTAAGTGACTGGCACTTTTAGGTGACTGGTTAAAATCTCATCTCCAAGGTATTGTGAGTGTTGCTCTTAAAAAGTGTCAATAGAGATCAAATATAAATTAATGTATAGAGGAGGTCATAGCAATTCAGTTGATCCACCTTCTTGTAACTAGATAACTGCTGGGAAGCTGTACAACTTGCTAGCACTACACTACTGTGTGACAGTTTTTAAGGTTTATATATGGTATTTTAATGAATTTTAATATTTTAATGTAAATTGTTTAAGCACCTTTTAAATAACAATTATTAATGATTTGCTTAGTTTTAATCTGTGTTGTTTTTAAATATATTATTCACTGACTTGAATCCCATTATTGGGTGAAAAACAGGATAGAAATGAAATGAAATAAATACAGAGACAATGTCTTGATCATGCATTTATACTTGATGTATATAGAAACAGAAAGTACACTAGATTTCTTCAACATAACTATGACCTACACTAGATTAAAATATGCCCATTCATGTTGAAAAGACAGTAGAGATGATACTTACTTGAGGTAGCTGTCTCACAAACAAAAGTGATGAGGTTGTCTTCAATCTTTTCAAAAGCATCAAAGTCATCAACTATAAAAACATGACGTTCGCTGGGTTTGCTAGCAATTTTGGCCAGTTCATGGTAATCAACATCTGCCACACCAACAACAAAGACACTGAAACCTGTGAATGCAATATTAGATCAATATCAGCACAGGAATCTTTTGTACACATTTTTTCTAGGCAGTGGCTAACCCACATGTTAAGATAAGATGTGCATGAGGTAAACCAACACTTTCAGACAAGATTGTGAAAAATATGTACGCATTTACATTCTCTTGATGTAAGAAAAAGAAAATATATAAAAAGCAGTGATGAAAAATGTTTCAGTGGGAGTGTGGTAGAGTTTATATTGGGTTTATATTGAGAAGAGATAAACAGATATATAGGTATCCTAAACCAAAACAATTAATAGTTTATTTAATCAGCATACAGAAATCTTATTGGAAGTTTACAATATAAGAAAGCACTTTAGAAAAAAGCAATAAAGAATTGAAAAGAAAAAGAAAACCTTTAGATTGGTGCCAAGAATAGTTAATAAAAACAAGAAAGGGGGGGGCTTTTACTCAGTACTTTGCCTATTATTATGTTTATATTCCCCTTTTTCTCTCCACATGGAGACTCAAAATGGCTCATAATTAAAAACATTGCAATAAAACTTAAAATATAAATATTAAAACTGTATTAAACTTCATTAATTTTAAAAACAATTCAAGTTACAAGAATAAAAGCATATAAAACCACAGCACCCCCTGACTTAAACAGCTTCGTATTTAAACAAAAAGGTTTTAGCCTGCTGATGGAAGCACAGCAGGGAGGGGGACATCCTGTCTTCCCTCGGCAGGGAGTTCCAGAGTCGAGGGGCACCACCAACCAGGCTTGAGATGGAGGTGGGCCGAGAGAAGGGCCTCTCCTGAAGATATCAGGGCTCAGGCATCTTTGTTTGTACAAGAAGGTGTAGTTGGCCAAATAGCCTGGAACTGAATCGTCTAGGGCTTTGAAGGTCATAACCAGCACTTGTGCCCAGAAACAGACTGGCAGCCAGTGGAGCTGCTTCAACGGGGAGGTTGTCCCTCCCTGTACCCAACACCAGTGAGCAACTTGGCCGCAGCTCTTTGGACCAGCTGAAGTTTCTGGGCACTCTTCAGAGGCAGCCCCACATAGAACACATTACAATAATCCAGATGGGATGCAACTGAGGCATGTACCACCAGATGGCCAGATCTGGCTTCCCAAGGAACGGGCACAGTTATTTATTATTTATTTATTTATTTAAAGAACTTATATTCCACCCTTCTCACCCCGAGGGGGACTCAGGGTGGAGCATAACATATATACGGCAAACATTCAATGCCGGAACATAAAATAAACTATAAATATACACAAAAATCAGTTATCTCCACTTTAAAATCAATTGTATAAAGCCATCTCAGATCAGTCTTACTGGATCCAGTTAGCAGGGTAGAGTTTCCTATTGTTGCCTTATTGCACTGTCCCAAAGTTGGCACACAAGTTTTAATTGTGAAAAGGCCCTCCTGGCCACTGCAGATAGCCTCCAGGTTCAGCACTGAGTCCAGGAGGACCCTCAAATTGCAAACCTGCTTCTTTCACTTTAGGTGGGAAGGAATAGTTCCCTAGGGCATCATCTGCATATAGGTGGCACCAAACTCTGGAAGATCTCTCCCAACAGTTTCATGTATATGTTAAACAGCATGGGGGACAAAATGGAACCCTGAGGAACCCCACAGATCAGTAGCCAAAGGTTCAAACAGGAGTCCCCCAGCACCACCTTCTGGGTTCAGCCCTCCAGGAAGGACCAGAGCCTATGTAAAACAGCACTTCCTAGACCCATCCCAGCAAGGCAACCCAGAAGGATACTATGGTCATCCTAGTCAATAAAATATGCCATTCTGTCAATAAAAGTTACTTACCAGAGTGTTGTATTACAGATGCAGCTTTCATCACTTCATCCTGTGATCTACCATCTGTTACAACAACAAGTACCTTGGGAACACCTTTCCTCATGCCACTTTCCCATGTCAATACTTTGTTTTTGATAAAAGTAAGGGCTTTGCCTGTAAATTGTGAACAAAGAACAAACTTAAATAATCTATCTAAGATATTATATTGAACCAAAGGCACCCTACAACGTAAAACCGCAGTAAAAATTCAGTCAATTAAATAGAATTAAAACAGTTTAATACTATTTAGAAACATACCAAGAAAAGAAAAAGAGTAACACTCACACTTTAAAAGCCCTTTTGCAATAACCAATCAGAAAAAACCACCTTTATGAATAAATAAGATCTGTGTCTGCAGATGGAGGAAAAGTAGAGAAAGGGACCAACCTAACCTTTTCTGGGAGGAAGTTCCACAGTTTCAGAAAAGCAAGCAAAAATGCATTCTCTTGACTCATCACTATGTATGCCTGTGAGGGAACTGGGATTGGGAAATGCCTCTTCTCCCACAAAGGTTGGGCCCTTACCCTCTTGCCCATTTCCTGTCTGCACCACAGCTACATGTAGTGGCCTCTACCTGTCCAAAGATGTTGACCACATTCTCAGGCTGCACAAACTAACTTGCATCTAGACAAACAGGGGCCAAAACAGAAACCACTATGATCTATATTAACTATAGCATCCAGATCAGAACAGATCCAAGAAATTAGGCAACTGCAGCACACAGAACTTTCCACAGAAAACCATTTGGCATATATACAAACTAGATGCTTATAAGGCTTTTTATTTGATTTGAGTGGATGTTCCTTTTCAGAGTTCATGAGAAAGGAAATACAGATTTTACCTTTTAAGACTTCTCTAAACAAAACACTACATACTATTTTAACTGCTACTAATAGTTGTCTTTATACTATACCAGAGAACTAAGAAGATGCCTAAAGTCTTCAATATTTTACATAATCTGAAGTCAACCAAAAGTCTTATAAATATCAGTATCTTCTTCTTTATATTCTCTCATTAGAATTCCTCTTTTTGAAAAGAGATAATCTTACTGATGTTGCCTACAAAATATCATACATTTTCTGGTCATGTTCCAGTGCATAACAGGCCTTTGAACAATTGGAGCAGCTCTGCTGCATGACTTTGTGCAGATGAATTTTATTGTGCAGAATAAAAAAAATTATTCTGTTAGACTTATCTGATGTTAGCCTGCTGAATTACCACAGGATGAAAATTAAAATCCAAATCTGTGCAGCAATAAGAGAGAATGATTTTTTTTAAAAAAAACAGAAACAATAAAATGTTTATCCAAATTTACCAGTTTTTGTGTTTCCTCCTTTGTATCGAATATTCTGAAGTGCTCCCAGTGCTAATGCTTTATCATCATATCTATTCAAATTAAATTCAGGTTTTGGATCATCACTGTATTGCACAAAGGAAACCTGTAAATGACAGTATAAATGTAAAGACTCTCAGACAACATTTGAGAGTTACAACTATACAACAGCAGTGGGAAAATTTCAGTTTTATAGATTTATATTTCACACTCCCTCATAAGAGAGCGCAGTGAAAGGCCTGGCATTGTAAAAGCATATACGGAAAAGAATAAATTCATTATCTGGAATGGGGAGGTGAAGAGCCATTGAAACAATACCCAAAACAGTTTTGAGAAATGCCATGATTACACTCAAGTATACCTAATAAATGATATGCATAGGATGAAAGGATTTTCTCTAGATTACAATTACATGTCATTGAATTTTTAAGTGGAGAAGCTGTCATGTAGTTATGACGATCCTTTGTTAGACCTTAAAGAATTTGCCATCTCTGACAGCCTTCTGAATTTGATGCCCTGAATTTAATGGGTTAAAAAACCCATTAAGTTGCTGTGTCTGGTTATGATCCCTAAGTTGTGCCAGTCAACTTTCTTATAGTATTTCTAGCACCTACTTTTTGCAGTGGGCGCTAGACACTGAAGACATCTGCCCTTATGCTTTGCTACTCTGCAGCTGAATACACATGCCCAGTGTGGAATACATCTCATCATGTTAAAACTGTGGATGTGGCCCTTAATGAGGCATGCTGCATTATCACAGAATGTCTGCATCTTACACGGCTAGAGAAATTATAATGTTTAGCTGGTATTGCACCACCTGATATCAATTAGGAAGTAGCAGCCAGTGGAGATGATGATGATGATGATGATGATAACACTTTTTTAATATTCCACTCTATCTCCCCGAGGTGACTCAGAGTGAATTACAACATACACAGATAGGCAAGCATTCAATGCCCTTAAATGAAAAGACCAAGGCATTGACATCTCCAGCCCATCTTCTGTATGGATTATAAGCCAGTATGCCAACATCCTAAAACAAGAAATAGTTTTCCAAGATCTGCAAAGATACTTGCAGGAACACCTCAGCAAGCGAGAGTCCAAAAGTGGCAGGTTAAAACATGAAACCACAATCAGTAGCTGATACCGAATGAGAAAATCCCTCCTGGGCACACAAAAGACTGGGCAACTTGAAATGCACTGAACAGACTGCACTCTGGCATCCCAAGATGCAGAGCTAACCTTAAGAAATGAAGCTACAAAGTGGAGTCCATGACATGGAGAAAAGCAGACCACAGACCACCTGCTACAATGCAGCCTGAGCCCTGCCACACGCACAATGGAGGACCTTCTTACAGTGACACCAGAGGCAATCCAAGTGGCCAGCTTCTGGTCAAAGGACATTCAGTAAAATGCCAAGTTTTTAATTTTGTTTGTCATGTTTATACATTATAACTATATTCTATATTCTCACATGATACATAAATAAATTAAATTGCTCTTGTCAAGAAAACAAAGTATTTTCTTCTTGCCTTTTCTGCCAAGAAAGCATGCAGGTGGAAATACATTGTGAAATGTAAAATCAATGGCCAGAATCCTGTTTGGAAGTTGCAAATATGTTGCTTACAGTTACACATTTGCAACTGCTAAATAGAACTATGTAATTTTGAAACTATATAGGGGCCATGATAGTCCCACAAACCCCACTTAGTAGTGAGCAGTTGCCCTCTTGATCCAGAAGCAGCTATCTGACGTTCTCACTCCCACCATTGTGTGAGCGATCTACAGATCCATTTGTGACCCAGGCCCTTTTTCTGCCTTTCATACTAGAAATCGCTCACAGGAGGGAGTGGGAACATCATTCCCACTTCCTCCTATTTCTCAATTGACAGGGGAACAGACTGCTAAGTGGCGTTTGGGGAGCCTGGTTGGAAACCACTATGTATTAACATAATTATGGTGCTATGTAGTATGTAGTGGCCTGACAAATTCTAATGCATGTATATAAAGTGGAGAATTAAGGGGTAGGATCATTTGTTTAGGAGACACAGAAAAGCATTAGCAAATACTGACTTAATCACTGCTTTGCTGTGAGTTTTCCAGGATATATGGCCATGTTCCAGAAGCATTCTCTCCTGACATTTCACCCACATCTATGCCAAACATCCTCACCTCATAACCTCTGAGGATGCCTCTCATAGGTGTGGGTGAAAGGTCAGGAGAGAATGCTTCTGGAACATGGCCATACAGCCCAGAAAATGCACAGCAACCCAGCGATCCCGGCCATGAAAGCCTTCGACATCACACTGATTTAATCAGCTGCTTCCGAAAATATTTAAAGTCTCAGCTTCTCTTGCTGATAATAGAAAGAACAGACAAACCTGAATCCCAGCAGGGTTGATTAAGTCGAAGCCTCCAACGGTGTTGAAAATAAATTTCACTACTTTGTTGAAATTGTCATCTCCAATACTCCAGGAAGCATCAGTCAAGAAGACTATATCTGCTTTGGCACCTTTACACACTGAAAGATATATTAGGTTCAGAAGTCACTCAGACATTAAAGTGCAACAAAGACATTGAGCTAGTAAATAGAATACCATTTTATGACAATAGCACCCATCCTGATTAGAATTTTTGAAAAATACATTCAAGACTAAAATGATCAAAATGAAAAGTAGTAATGGCAAACTGAATGCCACTCAGTGATATACATGAGATAAAGTGAAAACAAGACAAAAATCAATCAGATGTCCTTCACTGTTCCCAATATATAAACAATATATTAATTAGGGTACTAAATTAGGGTACAAAAACTTACCATCTCGAGCAGGTGGGATTGTAGGAGGTGGAGGAGGGGTTGGTGCTTCTGTCGGTGGTTCTGTTGGTTTGATTACTAGAATAAAAATAATCACAGTCAGCACCACCAACATAACACTGGCCTTGAAAATTCTCAGGTAGTTTTTCTACAGAATTTACATTTCACAAATTGAAATAAATTAGTAACAACTGATATCAAAAGAATTATACCGTACAATAAAATCTTAACTGATTAAAAATTAATCTGCAAAGAAGTTTTTTCCTACACTATTATGATCCTTTCCATTTCTTTCCTAACATTTTCCTAATAGCTACAACAAAGAGAGAAAAGAGGTCACAAAAATGATGAAAAACTTCTAATAAAAGACAGATGATCTGTTAAGCATTACAGGTTGTTAAATAAAACAAAATGTTTCTCAGAATGCCTCTCTTGGTCCATAACATAAGGACACTTCAATACATAATGAATTACATTCTGCATCTGATTTAGATTACAAATGCAGATCTGCTGGGCAACAGGAACCCAGATTATTGAAACTTTGCTAACTTGTACATCTTTAAGGAAATACTTTCCCATTATCTGCATTCTGGATATGTTTTTGGGAAATGAAAAAATGAAAAAATGAAACCAAGAAAAGAAGAGATGCTGTTTCCAAATCATTTTGCAGTCCAATCTAAATTTGTTCAGCAGTAAGCCCCAGTTTATTCCATGAAAATTATAGCCAAGTCATTCTGCACCATATCCTCTACCTTGGCAGCCATCTCTCCATAAATGTCAACACTGCCACTGAAATACAACACTGCCTGAGCTCTGTGAGTGCATCGTTTTTCCAAATGAAGCAGAGAGTATTTGAGGATCAGGATATCTGTAGGGAGACCAAGGTGCTTGTTTATAAAGCTATTGCCCTCCCAACCCTGCTATATGCCTGAGAAACATGGACTGTCTACAGACGTCACACTCAACTCCTAAAACAATTCCATCAGCACTGCCTCCGAAAAATCCTGCAAATCTCTTGGGAAGACAGGCAGACAAATGTCAGCATGCTGTAAGGAAAGACCACCAGCACTGAAGCGATGCCCCTACACCATCAGCTCTGCTGGCCTGGCCACATTGTCTGAATACCCGATCATTGTCTCCCAAAGCAGTTACTATATTCCCAACTCAAGAATGGAAAACAGAATGTTGGTGGACAGGAAAAGAGATGTAAAGATGGGCTTAAAGCCAACTTTTAAAACTGTGGCATAGACACCAAGATCTGGGAAGCCCTGGTCCTTGATCGCTCTAACTGGAGCAGTGGAATTTGAAGAGGCACAAATGGAGGGCAAAAGGGAGAAATGTGCCAAGAAGAAGGCGTGTCAAGCCAACCCTGATTGGGTCCACTTTCCACCTGGAAACCCATGTCCTCATTGTGGAAGAACATGCAAATCAAGAACAGGTCTCCACAGCCACCTACACATCCACCACCAAGACACTACACTTCCTTGGGCTACGAGGGATCACCTACATAAGTAAGTAAGCAAGCAAGGCAAATCCTTAGTCTTCCCATATTGCTTTATCATATTTACCTGAAAAAGTCTGAACCATTGTGTCTAGTAAGCAGAAATGTTATTTGTGGTCTTTGTATTATGATTATTTTATTGCATTGTATTGTTAAATGTAAATGCAATCCCATGAACTGTGAAAGACATGTCCCTTTAAAAATAGTGCAATTTTTTACAAGATTGAGACTATCTTCAAGAACAACTGCTTTAAGATTCCTTCCCTATATTTGAACATCACTATCACCCATTCGTGGCATTACTACAACAGCCTGTGTTGTTATTATTATCACTTACATGTCCGCTCTCTTGTAGACACTGGGGGACCCTCAAGATTTGGAGTCTGAACAAAGATGGTAGCATCATATTCAGTGTCTGGGGAAAGGCCGGTGAAACAATGGCTGGTTTCTGTTCCACGCACTGTAATTTCTTGTCCTCTAGATCCTGCAAACAAATAGCATAATCAGAAAAATAGTTTATTTGTAGAACTTCATGTGTACACCATAACTGGTTACAAGCAGAAAGTGAAAGTAAATAAAAGAATGAAGGGAATGATTGCCAAAAGAGTGTGCCAGCAACTCACTTTTCTTAGCCTTTCAGTGACCTGTGATGCAGGCTGGTGAACAGCTCAATTGAGACATAAAAGGGGAAAGGTGTGGAAAAGATAGCACAAGGGAAGAGCATCTCAACAGGCAATGTGCTTGCCTGTAATAAAAGAGATTTAAATTAAATCCCTTCTTTGGTCTTAGATTTTCTGAATTTTTATACATACCACATCTATCAAAAAATGTAAGCTCCTTTTAAAACAGGATAAAATCTCTTTTTGGCCTTTAAGGAGAGATGCTGGGGGAGTAACTATTCATATACTTCAACAAAAATTAGGAGTATCCAAGCCCAGGCAAATCATGTTTAACTCTACTATCTTCAAACTTTACCTAGAGCAAAATGTACAGATGGAATCTATGGACAAAAAAAGGTGCCTCATGGAGTCCATGGAGTAAACACTGGAGGACACTGCTTTTTTCCTTATTTACAGAAGGGTTGAATCGTACAAGAATGCTTGGCCAATGAGTGGCACACACACTTCGTGATGTCTACACTTTTCTCAGATAATATTTCATCACATCCAGAACTGGACCTGCTATTAAGCAGAGTGAGAAAGTTATTTTGGGTGCTGTGAAAGGGCAGAGAATCTTTAGTAATTTTCTTTCTTAATACTTCATCTTTGCTGCCAATGATGTGGAAAATATGGAATTTTTGCCTCATACTGTACAATAATCTGGCCAACTTTGGTATGACACTATTTTTCATTGAGGAGAACTATCTGCTGCTCTGCCTCAAGCAACCATGTATCTGACCATTGGTTAAAGTTGCCTATTTTTATAGGAAAGAGACAATGGTCTACCATTGGAAAATTCAAAGAAAGTTATAACTTTAAGTTCCAATGATCTTCCTGGAAAAATTGAGATAATGTGAGATTTCAGTAGATGTTTTACTAACCATTTGTGGGCACCACTACGCTCTCTAATTACAGTTCCAATCAGATCCTCAAGAACCGTAATACAAAGTTGTTGTTGTTTTTTTTAAAGCCAGAGGAATCTCTGCTGGTCAGAAATATTTGTGGATATGATGGCGCCTGCAGTCCTGTTCCCTCATGTTTTTCATTTAGAAGACTTGCAGAGGATTAGCAGAGCTATTACCATTTACTTTTATTTGGGAAATTCTATCAAAATCCAACAATGGGATAGTGCCTGGCCACTAGTGTGATAGGATTCTATTTTCCTCTCCTCCTTCCTTCCCTGTAGCTCATGGCCCTTCCACACAGCCATATAACCCAGAATATCAAGGCACAATATGTGCTTTCAACTGAGTTATCTGACTCAACACTGCCATATATTCCAGTTCAAAGCAGAAAATGTGGGATTTTATTCAACTGTATGGAAGGGGGCCTAAGTGTCACCTGGAAATCTGCTGCAAAGGATTTCTAGCCTTTCAGAGCAACTTTTGGAGGAGGTTTGAAGACTTCTCGGGGAAAAGGATTGTCCCCTATTTAGTCTGTTGACAGAAGCACTTCCAGTAATAGAAAAGCCATATTGGATATGGATATGGGTCTTCAAGAGTATACCCTAATCACCATCATGACTAGGCATTCTCACTCTGGAAAAGTAAGTCATCAATTAGGATGTAAAGCTCCAGCAATGAAAGGAATTGCTTGAAGAAGATGGGCTGAAGGATGGGAAAAGCTTTTGCTTTTCAGAAGATGCAAAGTTTGGGTAGGAACATACAATATGGTCTTCATATCCACTCTGGCACATTACCAAAATTTCATACATAATTCAATATATAGATATATTTACCATCAGCAGGATTTAGCTTCAGTCTGTAAGAAGAGGCTGACCGATGAGCTGCCCATCTGACACAAAACGTGTCCCAGCCCACATTGTAACTGGTCAAATCAGTGACATTCAAGTACACTGCAAAGATTAAAGGAAAATGCTTCAAATAACATTCCCTTTTCTCACTTATGGAGAAAAGTATAAAACCAGGAAATACTGGATAGGAGAACTGTGTTGTTGTTTTTTTTAATTTAAAAAACTATAAAAAGATGGGTATTGCATTCAAACACACTGTTATATATTTCTCCTCACTTTTTACCTCATAACCATAACTAAGCTCATTTTAAAAACTCTTCATCCAAAATGTAGCTAGCTTTGTACATACAAGCTTTGTTATAGTCAAGCAATCTGTGGACAATGATTTCTCCGCAAGTCCAAAACACTAGGAAACTTGCCCAACACTGCTTGTCCCCCGTATTATTTTATAGCAGAATAGACTTCTTTCTTGGAAGAGGTTATTTTCCCCTGCACTTTGTAGACCCAGGGTTCCTATGTAGATGGGAGGGGAGTGGGAATGCTTTGACTTACATGTAGTGCCTCGGTCAACCAGGGGTGCACTGAGTCCAGCATCATATTGAGCATAAACGTTTACATCATAGGAAGTACTGGGAGATAGGTTGTGCAATGTATAAGCAGTCACTTCTCCAACAAATACCTCCATGGGCTCATCGGAACCTTAAAAGGAACAGAATAAGGAATTTTAATTTGTAAGACTCTGTAAGAAATGTTTTAAACTAAGTGAGGCCATTGGGTCACCTAGCTCAGAACTTCCTATTCTTAGTATAACAGCAACTTCTTAGGGGATTCTCTCAAAAATCACTTTTTTATACATATAAATGTTTACATAATGCATTAAAGAACTAACATTTGAAACTCATTGAACTGAACAGCACAAACATGCCTTAAATACATAATATCCATCCTTACCTATTGGTTTATACACAATTTTGTACCCAAGAACAGGAGATGGTGCAGGATCCCAGGAAACTCTGAATCTGGTATACCATTCATCTGAAATGTGTATATTCCGAGGAGCAAGCAGCCCAACTAAAAACAAACAAGCAAGGAAGCAAACAAAACATTATCAAGAATAAAAATGAATAAAAATGAATAAAAAAGAGCAGAAATGTTTGTATCTCTCTCCAATGTTTTCTGGATTGGCTTCCAGGATGACTACTAGGAAACCCTTAGCCACCAAGGTCATATCTACACTTATGTTGGTGTAGAGCAATGGTTCTCAACCTGTGGGTCCCCAGATGTTTTGGCCTTCAACTCCCAGAAATCCTAACAGCTGGCAAACTGGCTGGGATCAGTCACATGGCATCCAAATGCCACACTGAGCTGATTGAGGGTAATGTGGGGCAAGGCCACTTTGCCCTATGTTATTTAATGTCCAAATTCTGGCATAGACTATCCCCCAACTTTAGGCCAATTGGAACAGTTGGTTTGCAACTGTGCCCACTGCCATCTCATATTTTCCAAGCTCAAGTAGCCCAGGGACATGGGATAAGAGTTCCCTACTTTGTATCAAAGTGGTTTCTGGCCATGATATAGGTTGGGTGACTGGGCAATTTGTGAAGGATTCCTCCTCTACCCACTCCCAAGCACACCATCACTCCAGCCAACTTAGTGCATAAAACAGAGACCTCTGTGACATGGAGAGTTGGGGAGAACAGGAAGGGTTCAGCATCACCATGCAATGGGAACTCCCTCTTGCTTCTGCAGTATCTGAGGGGATTCCCTGAGTTGCCCATACCCAGAGTATTGGTCTGCCCAAGACACAACAGAAATTCCCTTGCTTTGTCCACATCAAGAAAATTTTTAAAATACAGGTTCCACTAAGCCCAAAGTAGGAGACCTCCTGCAGTCTCATATGGCTCTCTGAGCTCCCTTGCAACTGATGGGGTACAGGAGTGAAGTTGCTATGCTTCTTCAATGGGAAATTTCAGTAGGACTTTAAACATGCCTCACAGTTTCTGGATTTTATCAGCCACTTCCCTTAGGTCAAAACAAATTTTAGCCTCTTCTTAAATATATTATCAAATACTTGAAACTTGGTACAATCTATTTTTACCCAGATCATCTTTACTCTAAGGTCATATACAAAACATGGTCCACATGTTTCTCCTCACTTTTTTAAAAGATCTGGTGGTGGTGGTGGTAACAACTCCCTATCTACTCAAAGATATGAGATATAATTTCATTACCACATGCTGTGTTTAAATAACAACCTCTCCTAGGCTTTAAGTCCCCCAAAGAAGCCCAAAACATGACAGAATCAGTGGGCTTTATGAGAGGGAAAGGGGCAAAATGTTTTCAAACTTCTAAGGAGGGCAAATGAGGCTGCAAAACTTCAAGGTTCTCCAGAAGACCAACCTTATCAGTTGCCTGCTTTAAGCAAACATACCAAGTTCTCAAGGTATGGGTCCTTCATTTTCAACTAAATTTCATATCACTGAAAACAAATTAGATGTACCTGTTTTTCCATTTCCAACAATTTGTCCACCATCACCATCTTCATACACTGCCACAACTGTAATTTTATAGGGTGTGTCTGACTGCAAAGGCTGTAGCAGTACATTGTTTCTTCTGCCAGGTACTGTTGTCTAGAATAAACAGAATCACATAAATATTGCTGTTTTAAAAACTGTTCAGATGATTTTTCTTTTTGTGGATTCATTCTAACAAGTCATGTCATCTCCAACAGGATTAGATCTTTCGTAAAAATTAAAGCGAGCCAACAATGAAAGAAATTAAATATACTTGCAGTAATGTTGAGCTTTACAAGACTTTTGCAAGTAATATTATATAAATGTGATGATTAAAATGTCATTTGAATAGTTCATATTTATTTTTATGTCTTCAACGTTCTGGAGAGATTTCCCCATAAATGTATTTTTGCCAGCATGCATAAAATCCCTATTAAAAATGGAGACAACCCTATCAGGCCATGTAAGTACCATTCTGAGCACAATATTTTTATTTTACAGTGCCAAGAGGCAGCCGGACAGATTGTCATTCAGAAATAAATAACAATCACGGACAATTATATAGTGCATTTAAGACTGAGCAACATTTCTACAGAAGTCAGAAGTCATATCCTCACTGTCCCTAAGGAAAAATAATTTAGCTGTGCTCTGCACTCTGACAGAATGTTGCCAAATCAGGACATGGAAACTAAGTTCCATACTGTTAAAAATCTCTGACAGGGCTCTTTTTAAAAAGGAGAGCCAAAATCCTCTAATTCCACTCATTGTTTTATTAATCAGTCCAAAGGCCATAAGACATAATAGAACACTGCACTGCCCAACTCTTTCACTAGACAAAATCGATCCATAAAAAATATAACTGTAGATTATATAGATAGATACATAGACAAATATAGACAGACATGCAATACACACAGAGACAATATTGTAAATCCAGTTCAGATTAGTGAAATAAATGTAGATTATATTTAGCTGTGCTCAAGCAGATTATGACATTGGGCATACAATGTTCCCTCACTTATTGCGGGTGTTCCGTTCCAGGACCATCCACGATAAGTGAAAATCTGCGAAGTAGGGACACTCTGACCACTCCAGTGAGTGGAATGTCCTTATTTCGCGGTGGCCTCCTCCTCACCACCTCTGCTGCTCCCCACCTTGGAGCCCCCTTCCTTACCAGACTGGGTGCCCAAGCCTGGAACCCAGCCTGAAGAGGAAGGAGTGGGCAGCAGCGGAGGGATGAGGAGGACGCCACTGCCGAGACCATCTTTGGCGGCGGCCTCCTCCTCACCGCCTCTGCTGCTCCCCATCTTTGTGGTCCCTTCCTCGCCAGGCTGGGTGCCCAGGCTGGCGAGGAAGGAACAGGGAGCAGCTATACAGTGTTCCCTTGCTGCTCTCCATGAAACAGCGAGTGTGCAATAAGTGAACTGTGAAGTAGCAAGGGAACACCATACTCACTGATTTCACAAGACTTAAGCATGTCAGATAAGTTTAAGCATACCTAACTCTGTTGGACTGGGACCAGAAAACTTCAAGTAGACAACTATCTCTCACAATAAAGTTATCTTTTACTTGTTTTATAAAATAGAAAAATGACACTAGGAAAGACAGAACCATCCTGCCCACTAAGGAAGATGTGTGTTCATTTATCTAATAAATCAGAAACCAATTTGATGCTTTGTGTGACAGGAGAGGGCACATGACATAAAGAAGAATAGTTTGAGTTGGGAGAAAAAGAAAGTGTTCTTAAAATGGCAAGATTTCTCTGTCAGAGCATTTATTACTGGGAAGGTAAACCTTACAGAAATTATCTTTCTTTTCAAAGGGCTACATCACAATAGGTAGCATGCAATAAATATCTACACAACATACTAAGTAAAAATTCAACATGCTAAACTCTATGACGCAAGGTAACGAAGACCCACTTATTTCAGAGAGTCTTTGTTAACATCATGAAACCTAGATTCAAACCAATACTTGTAGGCCTGGGGGCTAGTTTTGCTTCTTTCTTATAAAGCATTATTAAAGCTTGGAAAGCCTGTAGTAGGATGTGGCAGGATATGTAGGAGACTATTTTGACCAAAGCACAAAGAAAATGTTGCTTTCAAAAAGCTATCATCCTAACGTCTATTTGGATGATTGCATATATTAGTATTCTAAATATGCAAATGGAAACATATAAGGAGCTATCTTTCATTACACCAACTACTACAACAGGACTGGAGGATCTTTGGCCTCTCTGACACTGATAGACTACAGCTCGCATATTCCCAACTACTGATCATGTTGACTAGATGTAAGGCGTGTTAAAAGCAACCATACTTCCCCCATAGAGCAGTTAAATCAGATGATAATGCAGCAATCCCAATAAAATGGAAAGTGTGTAACTGAAACAATTAAACTGTGAGATATTTCTAACACATCATTTGAACACTTACATATTCATCTATAGGGTCGCCAACAGTGGGGGAATATATGATTCTGTATTGCTGCACTGGTCCATCAGCATGGTCCCACTGAACAGAAAGACTATTTGTAGTAGGATCAAAAACTCGTATGTTCCTGGGTCCACTGCGAGGCACTAAAGGAATAAGTTAAGGGCACAAAATAAAATGTAATTCAATCCACAAAATACAGAGTATCTTTCCCATATTGTGAATTTTTTTTGCAATTAATCATCAACAGCAGTTAAAATGTACTGCTGTCAAGAAATACATACATAAAGTTGGAAAATCCCATCATACTAAAAACAGATTTATTGAACTCAGTAGTACTTAAGCTAGTAGTGCCAAACAAAGAGTCTATTTTAAGTTCAATAAAGTCTGGATCAAATTCACATAGATACTGAACAATTTTTTTCCATTTACATGTCTTCATTCTACAATTATTTTAATTCCAGCTCATCCTGTGATAATTTTGTACGAAAATAAGGTCAAAGGTCATCTTGCATGTGTTAATACCAACAATCACAACAATCACAAATGTCCAATTTTCAGACACACACAGCTTGAGGTGAATGACATAATCAATATATGCTTCTGTACCTTTACACGTTCACTGTAATAGGACTGAGACATTAACAAAAAACGCAATGAACAAAATCATTTTTAAAATTGTTTGCTCTTCTTTCAGCAATAAATTCAAAACACTTCAATGTATTCCATAAGAAACAGAGACAGAAATAATAAGCCAAAAAAATCTCTCAGCAGCAGAAGTCTTGGCTCGAATTATATCCCTAAAGAGCTTCATTATTAAATAGAGGCTGGAGCCATAATGAATTTGGCCGAACCAGTTTATCTGTCATTATGAGGTTGCTTTTACCACACATCTAAATATTTTTGATGCATATGTCCTTCACAGGTGCTTGAAGACCAACAATAAGTAAAGGGAAAGTTATTAATAGCAAGCTCTCTCCATGCTGTTGAGGAGCAGGATTTTTCTCTTACTTGCATTCATTCTACACATTGGTGGGGGAAGTGCAGCTTATGGACCATATGCAGCTTTATAGGACCATTTAGTGGTTCTCGGGTTTATCCAAGTGTGTTCGACAATGCCTCCAAACACTGCTAGGCAATGTGGTAGCCAATTTTACCACATTTTGGCCTTGGGCCATTTTAAGCATTACATTTTAGAAGTTATTCTAACTGTTGGAAAGAGGAGTCAGAGGGTCCAAAACACACAAAAAATGCTCAGGGGTAGTTAAGGCGTAGAAATTAATGGGGAGGGAATTGCAGCAAGGAGAGGCAGCACTCCACCCCCACTCCCCACCGGAAGGACTAACATAGCTCCTACCCCTGAAAGTTGGTTTGTCTGATCCCCTTGAATGCCTGGGAAGGACAGCAGCAGTCAGTGATCTGCAAATGTGTTATGATGCTGACAAAGTGGAGACCAAAGAAGACTGCCAGAGGTAAAATGGAATCATTCACGATACACAAATCACATTTAGTATAGAACACATCATATGTTTGTTTGCTTGCTTACATGTCTTTCCCTGTCCAGGACTTGGATCTCCTTCTCCATCAGCATATAATGCAACAACGTTAACTGAATAGGGAGTATCAGGCACTAGGCGCTCAAGTAAAACATTACGCGTGTTGGCTGGTACCACAACCTAGGAAGAAAAAATAATACTAAAGCTGAAACTGGCAATGAAAACAAATAATCTTGAAAATGTAATAAATGGTTTCCTGAAGTCTTCAAAAACACTCTAGCTTTTTCAGCCAAATTCCCTTGTACTAAATAATTTTTGCTCCTTGTTCCTAAAGAAAAGAAGGCTTTGAGAATTATTTCCTTGCCTTTACTCTTTTCCAGATAAACCTGGATCATGCTTGAAAAGCCAAATCATCACCCTAGCAACTGCATCCTCTGCTTCAATGGGTTTTAGGTGGCAGCAGCAGCAGGCAATTATATGAGTTATTTGCCATTTAATTACGCACAATGCCTTTGCATGAGAATAGAATAGAAAAGCAGTGACAAGTGGCTTGCAGACCTATCTACTGACTTAAAACACCAGCCATGACTTTGTGCCAACCCTGAAAGTAAGTCTCCTGAAGAAATTCAGGCCTAGAATATGTAAAATGTCTAGCAGCAACAATAAGAACAATGATAATGTCTAAGATTTCCTAAAAGTGATTTGCTCTCACTCTGTGCCTTCTCAGTTCTGGCACCCTAAACCATGGAATAGCCTCTCCAAGAAAGTGTAAAAGTTGAATGTCTGGTTGTATTCACTGCTCGTGTTCCCATTCTCTTATAGTGGTGTACTAGGGCTTGAGGTGGGGGAATATTGTTTTGATAACAATTGTGCACCATTATGGTAAACATTTTATTTATTTTTATTTATTTATTTACAACATTTCTATACCATCTTTCTCGCCCTGGAGGGGATTCAAAATGCCTTTACACACAGGCAACAATTCAATGTACACTTAAATAAATATTAAAATAGAATTTAAAAATGCATTAAAAACAATTTAAACATTTAAAAACAATACATTCAGAGTTAAATGCACAACCCAGGCCATTCCAATAGTCATTGCACATTGTTCCAAGCCTATCTATTGAACAAGTTCTCTAAAGGCTTGGGCACAAAGCCACGTTTTCACTCCCTTAAGGAAGATCAGGAGAGGGGCTTGATCTAATATCCCTAGGGAGGGAGTTCCACAGCCGAGGGGCCACCACTGAAAAGGCCTTGCCTCTCGTCTCCACCAATCATGCCTGCAAGGGAGGTGGGATCAAGAGCAGGGCTTCCTCAAATGATCTTAAGCTCTGAGATGATTCATAGGGAGAGATTCGTTTGGACAAGTAAGCTGGGCTGGAACCATTTAAGGTTTTATAGGCTAAAGCCAACATTTTGAATTGTGCTCGGTAGCAGATTGGCAGCCAGTGGAGTTGAAGTAACAGGACGGTTGTACGCTACCTGTACACTGTTCCGGCGAGCAATCTGGCTGCCACCCATTGGACCATTTTTAGTCTTCAAAGGCAGCCCCATGTAGAGCATGTTGGAGTAATCTATTTGGGATGTAACCAGAGCGTGGACTACCGTGACCACGTCTGACTTCCCAAGGCACAGGCACAACTGGTGAACACGTTATAATAGTTCAAATGCCCCCCTGGCCACCACTGAAACCTGGAGCTCCAGGCTCAGAAATGAGTCCAGAAGAACTCCCAAACAGCAAACCTGTGTCTTCAGGGGGAGTGTTACCCCCTCCAACACAGGGATTATAAAGGATAGTGGTACACAAAATACTTATTTTAAGTACATACCAGACAATTCTCTATCTACAACAACTAACAATGTTAATACATGAAACATAGAGTATTTGTTACTTCAAGCAGTTCCAAATATGTCAGTCATGTGGAATTTACTAAATGATGGGTCCCATTTAATCTGTCTTAATCAAATGAAGAATTTACACATAAATTCTGGAATTTCTTGAAGACAGAAAGGCAGTCTTAAATTCTACCTTGGTCACAAGAAACATTAAGCCTTTATGGGACTTTTAGAATACCACTTCCATAAGTCCTTACCACTGGCCATGTAGGTGAGACTGATGGGAATTGTCAATCACAACACCAACCAAAAGTTCACCAGTGAATGCTGAACACTGAGAATCTATACATAGCGTTTTAAGAGTGAAATGATAACTGACATTTTAAAATGTACAAATGTTTTTATATTTGTAACTGCAGCTTTGATACCCGACCCATTTGAGAGGAAATTACTTCTGCCCATAAGGGAAGTTTGTTATATATTACACCATGCAGTGAGCCAAGTAGCTGTCTGAATGAACTGTCAGGTTACCAGATTGGTTTTCATCTCATAATAAGCTGACAAACGTTCCCCCAGAACTCTGAAAAGCTGAAAACCAATGGGTTGTTTAGTAATGTATCACTTTCTAACAGATATTCTCAGCCTTGCAATTATAATTTTCTTTTACTGCTATTTACTATTAGATTAAACATTTGGAGCAAATATATAATGACATCCAGAAGTGTAAAATGAAATAGGACACTTTTCACTAGGCAAAAGTAATTATGGAAAGCTCTCTCCCTCAGCATTCATATAAGTAAAAGCTCAGGAACTTAAATTACTTACAGATTCTGATGGCCTTGAGCCAACCAATGGAGCATAGACAACTCTGTACTGCTGTACTGGCCCTGGTGCAGGTTCCCATTGGACATTGAGGCTATTTGTAGTTGGGTTATATACTTGGATGCTTCTTGGAGTTCCTCTTACCACTGGACAAAAAATTATGCAAGGCCATTTTATATTAAAGAAATACTGTATATACTTGTGTAGAAGTCAACATTATGTATAGGTTGAGGGTAGGTTTTAGGGACACAAATATGGATTTTGGTATGACTTGTGGATAAGTCAAGGATTGTTCTGTGGAGGGTGGAAAGTACCATTGCCATCACCATTTTCCTGCCCAGACATTTAAAAAAGCCAGAAGAGTTAAAGTACAGTATTTATGTCTACCCAGCTTTTGGGGCTCAGTTTTATGACTAATTTTTTACAGACAAGATAGATTCTCTAGGTTTGTTCTTAAAAGTTCCCTTAATCCTGAATAGAATCAAAATCCATGTTTCCACTCTCCTCTACATAGGAAAACCAGAGAACATACTTTCATGGGTCTCTGTTAACTTTATATTTAACTGAGGTAGTACATGTAAAAGAGATCAGGGAAAATACACAGACCAGTTAGAGATGATCTCACTAACATTCCTAGCGAATATACAGTGGAAGTGAAGAACAGATTTGAAGGACTAGATTTAGTAAACAGAGTCCCAGAAGAACTATGGACAGAAGTCCGCGACATTGTTCAGGAGGCGGCAACAAAGTACGTCCCAAAGAAAAAGAAAACCAAGAAGGCAAAATGGTTGTCTGCTGAGACAGTGGAAGTAGCCCAAGAAAGGAGGAAAGCAAAAGGAAACAGTGATAAGGGGAGATATGCCCAGTTAAATGCGCAATTCCAGAGGTTAGCCAGAAGAGATAAGGAACTATTTTTAAATAAGCAATGCATGGAAGTGGAAGAAGACAACAGAATAGGAAGGACAAGAGACCTCTTCCAGAAAATTAGAAACATTGGAGGTAAATTTCAGGCAAAAATTGGTATGATAAGAAACAAAGATGGCAGGGACCTAACAGAAGCTGAAGAGATCAAGAGAAGGTGGCGAGACTATACAGAAGATCTGTATAGGAAGGATAACAATATCGAGGATAGCTTTGACGGTGTGGTGAATGAATTAGAACCAGACATCCTGAGGAGTGAGGTTGAATGGGCCTTAAGAAGCATTGCTAACAACAAGGCAGCAGGAGATGGGATCCCAGCTGAACTGTTTAAAATCTTAAAAGATGATGCTGTCAAGGTAATGCATGCCATTGCCAGCAAATATGGAAAACACAAGAATGGCCATCAGACTGGAAAAAATCAACTTATATCCCCATACCAAAAAAGGGAAATGCGAAAGACTGCTCCAACTTCCGGACAGTGGCCCTTATTTCTCATGCCAGTAAGGTAATGCTCAAGATCCTGCAAGGAAGACTCCAGCAATACATGGAGCGAGAGTTGCCAGATGTTCAAGCTGGGTTTAGAACAGGCAGAGGAACGAGAGACCAGATTGCCAATATCCGCTGGATAATGGAGAAAGGCAGGGAGTTTCAGAAAAACATCTACTTCTGCTTCATTGACTATTCTAAAGCCTTTGACTGTGTGGATCATAATAAATTGTGGCAAGTTCTTGGTGGGATGGGCATACCAAGCCACCTTGTCTCTCTCCTGAGGAATCTGTACAAGGACCAAGTCGCAACAGTAAGAACTAACCACGGAACAACAGACTGGTTCAAGATTGGGAAAGGCGTACGGCAAGGATGCATCCTCTCACCCAACCTTTTTAACTTGTATGCAGAACACATCATGCGATGTGCGGGGCTTGATGAATGCAAGGCTGGGGTGAAAATTGCTGGAAGAAACATTAACAACCTCAGATATGCAGATGACACCACCCTGATGGCCGAAAGCGAGGAGGAGCTGAGGAGCCTTCTAATCAAGGTGAAAGAAGAAAGCGCAAAAGCCGGGTTGCAGCTAAACATAAAAAAACCAAGATTATGGCAACAAGAATGATTGACAACAGGAAAATAGAGGGAGAAAATGTGGAGGCCGTGACAGACTTTGTATTTCTAGGTGCAAAGATTACTGCAGATGCAGACTGTAGCCAGGAAATCAGAAGACGCTTACTTCTTGGGAGGAGAGCAATGTCCAGTCTCGATAAAATAGTGAAGAGTAGAGGCATCAGACTGGCAACAAAGATCCGCCTAGTCAAAGCCATGGTATTCCCTGTAGTAACCTACGGATGTGAGAGCTGGACCTTAGGGAAGGCTGAGCGAAGGAAGATCGATGCTTTTGAGCTGTGGTGTTGGAGGAAAGTGCTGAGAGTGCCTTGGACTGCGAGAAGATCCAACCAGTCCATCCTCCAGGAAATAAAGCCCAACTGCTCACTGGAGGGAAAGATACTAGAGACAAAGTTGAAGTACTTTGGCCACATCATGAGGAGACAGGAAAGCCTAGAGAAGACAATTATGCTGGGGAAAGTGGAAGGCAAAAGGAAGAGGGGCCGACCAAGGGCAAGATGGATGGATGGCATCCTTGAAGTGACTGGACTGACCTTGAAGGAGCTGGGGGTGGTGAGGGCCGACAGGGAGCTCTGGCGTGGGCTGGTCCATGAGGTCACGAAGAGTCGGAGACGACTGAACGAATGAACAACAACAACAGTACATGTAAAATGTAACATAGCAACTAAATGATCCTGGGATGAAAGTTTAATGAAAAATAAAGTATGGTTAGGGTTGTTGTAGGTTTTTTCGGGCTATATGGCCATGTTCCAGAGGCATTCTCTCCTGACGTTTCGCCTGCATCTATGGCAAGCATCCTCAGAAGTAGTGAGGTCTCAGACCTCACTACCTCTGAGGATACTTGCCATAGATGCAGGCGAAACGTCAGGAGAGAATGCCTCTGGTACATGGCCATATAGTCCGAAAAAACCTACAACAACCCAGTGATTCCGGCCATGAAAGCCTTCGACAATACAAAGTATGGTTACATCCTTTGAAATCAGTGGACTTAAGTTAACTTCGCTCTACCCTGATTTGTGGTCCATATCTCAAATGTTTTATTAAAGAAAGGAAGAAAAATAATTCTAGGTTTGTTTTTTTTACTTACATGTCCTCCCATTATCAGACACACGGCCTCCGTCCCCTTCTGGGTAAGAAGGAACCACTGTTACTTTGTATTGTGTGTCTGGCTGTAGATTCCTTAGAACAGCATAATTTGTGTTCCCTGGGACAGTTGCCTGTTGTCGTTGTTGTTTAAAGAATGAATATACAAAATTATTATTAGGCAACATTAACAGAGTATTACGTACAATATAAGACATGTTTTGTACCAGATTTAACTTCCAGACTGTCTTCACAAGGAATATCATGGAAAATGCATTGAAGTATTGAATGATCAGAAAAGTGATTTCACCTGACTATTAGGAAGAATTTCCCAATGATAAGAGTGGAATAGGCTGCTTTGGAGTGTGATAGAACTTCTGCATTTGGAGATTTTTAAACAGGGACTGGATGGTCATTTGCTGGGAGTGTTCTGAATATGTATGCATGGTCCTCTTAGAACTCTATGATTCTATGAATGTAGTCTAGGCTGAATGTGACCAATATATGCGTAGCAAGGAAACAGTCTGATTTATTTGCATAGGATATTGGACACATCAGACATATCTAACAAAACAGAATTGTGCCACCTCCATAACTACACTAGGAAAATCCCCAATTTGTAGGAGAATCTCCATGTTCTTAACTTGGTCCTCCAAAGACATTATCAACTTCTGCCATAATCTTCCATCCAGGTCTGTCAGCTTCTCTACCCACAATCTTGTCTGGAGAGTGATATTATGTGTGTGAATCTTTTTTAACTTTGAATATGTTTTCATGAATTTTAACTGTGATTTTTTAAATTCTGTTTATGTTTAATTCCATTTTAATGTCTGCATATTTGTATATTTTAAACTGTATGCTAATGCTTTTATATTAAGTTGCTCTGAGTCTCCTTTGGGAGAGATAAAGCAGGATATAAATAATATAATAATAACCATAATCTGTACTGTCAAATGGAACAGCCCCAAGAGGAATGACACCATGTATTTTTTCCTGTAGAGACAGAACAGCTCTAAGTGGCACCCTAAACCAAACATATAACTAGCAAGAGCAGAAACAAACACGAAATACATGGATTAAAAAATAATTACCAGTTCATCTGCGCCTCCTGACACTGGTGCATAAAACACCTTGTACTGACGTGGATTCCCTTCAGCATGATCCCATCGTACATTCAATGTGCTGGTGGTTGGATCATAAACTCTGAGGTTCCTCACAGTGTTGAGAGGCTCTGAAATAAATTAAATGCATGCTTAGACTGAGAATCTCTTTGTTATGTTGGCCTGTAGCCCAAGCTGGTCTTACTGACTGAGAAACCATTCCAAGAGATAACCTGATTTACAGACATTTGCAAGATATGCTGCCTTGCAGGGTACTAGAGCCTTCTCTGGAGATTTTTAAGCAGAGGCTAGATAGCCATCTACTGGGGTGCTTTGATTACATTTTCCTGCATGGTGGGAGTTGGAATGGATGGCCTTTGGGATCTCTTCCAACTCTATGAAGCTAGTGTGGCCAGTTTCACTATAAAATAGTCTGTCCCTTTCCCATGCCTTCAAGATAGGAGGTCCTCATTAACAACTGGGAGAATGTAGATGTCCTTCATCTACCCCACTGGTCAACTTTAAGGCTAAACCACTGCTCTTAATGTATAGCAGAAAGGCGGGGAAAAATAATGGGAAGCTATTGTAGTTCTGAGGCCCCTTCTACACAGCTGAATAAAATCCCACATTATTTGCTTTGAACTGGGATATATGGCAGTGTGGACTTAGAAAACACAGTTCAAAGCAGATATCGTGGACTTTTCTGCCTTGATATTCTGGGATATAGGACTGTGTAGAAGGGTCCTGAGAGTAATTTGTCCTAATAAAACTCAACTCTCACTCTCTAATTAATTATGTTAAGCATGTTGGACTCAATTTAGAAATTCCCTTCTTTTTGTAAAACAAGTATTTGAGCTGTTCAAAAAGACAGCTGTAACAAAATTAATCAACAACATTGTTTTTAAGTAGACAAACAACCCAAATGCAATAAATAAAATTCTAGTTTAATGTCTGCAATAATGCAGACACACCAAACCTCAAGAGGTTAATACAAAGAGACTTCTGAAAAATGAATTAAATAGATTCTATTATTATTGATTTAGAAGTAATAACCTTGCTAGGATAATACACTGTTGGCTACTTTTATCTTTACAAAATGGAAATAGTACATTCTAGTATGAGAATTTTGGGTAAAAAAAATAATGGAAATGGAGGTCACCAAAGAAAATATGAAAATTAAGTGGAAGCCAGGAGACTTAATCATATTTGTCAGCGTTTCAAACTGGAATAGAAGTACTTGTTGAGAAAAATGCATATATTTCCCTATGATAAAGCATTATTTTTCTTTTGTTATAGAGACACATAACTAAAATTCGACATTGGAGAAAGATATGCAGATTTAGCTTCACAACAACTTAGAACAAATTGTCCTTTTATCATGGAATAAACCAAACATCTGGAAAAGTCAGGGCATATATCTTCCAGTGCCAATCTCTTACAAAATTATTAGGAAGGGATAGATAAACAAACTTATATGATTGCATAATTATTCATTTTTAAAGGGGTTTTTTTTTCATTTTGAAAAGACAAGTTTCCAAATCATTAATATATTTTTTTAAAATCTGGAACTGGGAAAAGAGAACAAAATGTCTGTGGGGATTTTAACAAAGGAAATCTAAAACCTGCTGAATTTGTAAGGAAAATTATATCACTTTTTAATAGCTTTTTGTTTCACAAATGGGAAAACCAGTTAAAGCTGTATAACTTACTAGTTTTGCCTCTGCCTGTCATCTGTCCTCCTTCACCGTCTGCATATATAGATGAAACGGTAACACTATAAGGTGTATCAGGCTGCAGCTTCTGGAGTACAACACTGTTTTGCCTCCCTCCTACTGTGGTCTAGAATACAATGATTTGAAAAAGTTAATTGAAGGAGCAGGGAACTAACCACAAGAGAAAATGGGGAAAAAAATATAAGTATACAGGCTTCTGTTTTCTAGTTCTAGGCCAGGTTGCCTGAGGCTGCAATTACAATATGACCCCCATATCCACAATGGATACATTTCAAGACCTTCTGTTGATATCTTAAAGCATGGATCACAGGAACCTTATGTGCTATTAGCATACCATAGAATTGCACCTGAAGGACCTAAAGAGGTCCAAAAAAACACTTGGGGGGGGGGAATATTTTTTAAATACAGGCAAGTGAAACCATAGATATCAAAACCGTGGATAAGGGAGTATTGCTGTATTTCTTCGGTGCTTTTGAATACTATATTAACTTTACTCATTTGTTAGGAAGAAGAGAATGAAATGTTGGATTCAAAAGTATTTTTGAAACAGTGTGGGCTGTTTTTCTTACTTCTACATATCACTTACTAAGCACAGAAGACCCACTCTTCAATCTTCAATTCATATCTGTACTGGACCAATTTCCCTTTGCAAAATGACATTTTAGTGCAACAGCAAAGCGTGCTGATGCCCACAGCAAACCCTGAGCTAAATGTTGATGATTGTAGTCCCCTATGAACCTGTTCTTCACTAGACTGTAGTCAGCTGAACAAATAATATAGAGCACTTAAGAAAAACATTACAAAATTCCTACACGAAAAGTACTTCCATATAGAGGAAAAGATGCAAACTGTTCATACAACATCATTTATGATGAGTGTACTTTTGTCTTTTTTCATGCAAGAATGCATTATGCATGGAGAAACTAAGAAACTATGGCACAATAAACAGCAAAATAAAGTTATGACTCATTGCTCTGCTCTATTCCATGCTTGATATGAAAGAAATTTGCACATTTTGTAATCTTGTCCAGCATGAGAAAACCTATAATTATGTTTGTTACTGAATACAAAAATAATGTATGAAAAGATGTACATTCCTATATTTGAAAGAATGCTGTTAGTCATCTTGTAGCATTAGAAGCAAATATATTTCCTACAACAACCCAATACATTTCCATTTATAACATAATCGTGATCTGACAAGTTTAATTTTTTAATTATGCACTTGTTTGGAATTACACACTTTCCTGTAGATAACAATTATTAAAGTTTATCAAAGTTAATTACCGATTGTTCGGGACCATCACTGCTTGTAGGTCGATAAGTGATCCTATATCGCTGCACTCGCCCAATGGCAGGATCCCATTTCACAGTCAAGCTATTGGATGTTGCATTGTATACCTGAAGGTTTCGCGGGCCACTCTTTGGCACTAATGCAAGATTATTACAACAGTAGCTATATTAAGCATTGTAAAAAAATAAATCTATAATTGAGTTTATTTGTACTGTCATATGAAATCTAAATCAAAGCTAGTACTTATTAATGAAAAAATTAATTTCAGAATTCTCTTTCTCTCAAAACTTAAAACTTGTAAGAGCAATACACCTGCCAAACTGAGACAAGATGATCAGAATGATATTTAAATAATACCCAAATGAATATTAAATCAAGATGCTATAACATAGATTAGGAAGACTGAACAATGGCTTGGATTGATCTAAAAATAGCTTCTAATTCTTGTACTACAACATGATATAAAAAGTATTTTTTTCATGAATTCAGGCTCTTACCTGGCGTTGTTATTGGTATAATAGGCACTATAAAGAAGAAACACAAAAGTAAACATGCATTAAATTCATGCTCTTTTCTTTTTAAAAATTACAATTCATATTTCGGAATTGCTTACATGTGCGCTCACTGCCAATCAGTTCATCACTCTCTGATTCATCAGGATAAATTGCAGTAACTGAGATGTCATACAATGTGTCTGGTGTCAGATTTTCAAAAACGAGTGTATTTTCATCACCATTTAGAATAGTCTACAGGAGTGATAAAGGGGAAAGGGAGAAACGGATGATATTATACACAGTCTCAATCTATTTAACAATTACCCATTTTTAGATTTTTTTTTAGATCCTAAAGAAGAGACATTTTACATACAGAAAGACATGTGTAATTAACATGGGCATACACATTTCCAAGTGTTATGACAGGACACAATTGTTTGTAATCAGATGCTCCAGTGTGTTTGGAAAATTCATCAACCATGCTGAACACACCCACTGCCTTCTGCCTTTCTATTCACCATATAACATATATATAAGCTAGATCCTACAGGATGACTCTATGGCCAGAAGTTGACCATATAATTACATTAAAGTAGCTGAAGGACACAGAGGTTCCTAGAGAGAACATCTGAATCTAATCTGAAAAAGTAAAATCTGCTGAAGGCCAACTATAGTTATGACAGTGGTATAACTAGGTCATAACTCTTATGCCCAAATCCCATGATGTTTTTATGAGCAATGACAGTGTGATGTCTTCTGACACCACCACATCTTAGCCTTTCCTACTGCCACTGAATTTAGTTGTAATCCTCACAACAGTTAGAGGAAATTAATTATTGCCAAGAAAAATATATTGTTGTGAGCTATCATGGATTGTAATATGGTGTGTATGCACCCATGCGTCCATGCATGCATGTATAAACATTACACAACTATGTGTCACCCAAGCCGCTCGCATTTGTTGGACTCTCCCTTGGGAGTGTGTCAGATTCCCTGACTAAGCCTATACTATAGGGTACACATGAAATCACAGAAGCTTCTATCTTTCCCAGAAAGCAAAATTCAATCCCCAAGTCCTCAATTACAGAGGAAAGTGAAAGATAGAATGCCAGGAGTCAATAACAACTGGGATTTTGTACAACTGCAACAATGGCTCTGCATTTTCTTCAGGGAACTGGCAGACAATATGTGGATTTTTGGTCACAGTAATAGTAATAATTGATTCAGCAAAAGCTGTTCAATTATTCATTTTAGAGAATCCCAAAATTCCTACCTCCTGTTTTTCAGTCCCACCATATGGCCCCCACATTACTCTATAGAGAGCTACATCAGACGCTCCATGGTCCCAAGTACCCCGGAAAGAGGTCTTGGTGACTTGATCAGTTCTCAGATTTTGTGGTGCTGGTACAGGTACTGTCAAAGAGAAAAGGAATAAGAAAATGTGTGCAATTAAATATCTCTAGAAATGCAAAATTATAGACACAGGAGTTATATCATGCAAGACATTCTGATTTGAGATAAAATCAAACAGAAAATGTACTGGACTGTTTACATGTTGTTGGGTTAAGTCATCAATATGCCTCAAACAATATGGATTCTTTCAGTATAGTTGAACATTCAGTTCACGTCACTTCTACACTGGATTGTTAACAAGATCAAGCAGCCCCCTGGGGCCGGCTAATGACCAAAGGGCTCAATAAATAAAGTCTCAAGAACCTGCCCAAGTCATTCTTTCTAATACTTCTCCAGTACCTCCTGGAAGGAACTGTGGATAAAAGATCTTAAAGCTGTTTTTGAATCCTTCACAAGAAATTGTCATAAACAATGCTTAGTGCCTAACCAAAATTATACAATTTCTAGAACTTTGCCTAAGAAGTTATGGATGCAATGCAAAGCAATGCTATGGCGCTCTTCCTGAAGGCTGTTGATTGTGGATGGACTTGAGAGCTGCATTCAATCTATAGGATTGTGAGAGGGCTTCTAGTGGTGAATAGCGCCAAAGGCAAAACAGTGGGACCATAAATACCTGTATATTTAATTAAATCTTAGAACAGTGGTTCTCAACCTGTGGGTCCCCAGATGTTTTGGTCTTCAACTCCCATAAATCCTAACAGCTGGTAAACTGACTGAGATTTCTGGGAGTTGTAGGCCAAAACACCTGGGGACTCACAGGTTGAGAACCACTGCCTTAGAATATACATTTTAACCTTTTCAGTTGGAAAAAAAATGTACAAAAACTGAGGAAAATGAGAAAGAGTTGTAGTTCTTCTGGAGAAACCCAGGAAGATAAACTGTCTTCTGAAACATTAAATCACTGAAATAGTAGAGCCCTATTGATATGACAGCCAGTATTGCATAGTGGTTTGAGCATTGGACAATAACTTTTAAGACTATGGTTAAAATTCCTGTTCGGCCATGGCAGATTATCAAAGCGGATAATCCACATTATCTGCTTTGAACTGGATTGCATATTTCTACACTGTCATAAAATCCAGTTCAAAGCAGATAATCTGGATTCTGTATGGCAGTGTAGAATGGGCCTCAATCTTGGAGGGAGGCAAAGGCAAGCCCCCTCTGAACAAATTCTACTGAATAATCCTCATAATAGGTATGTCTTAAAGCCGTCATAATTCGGAAACAACTTGATGGCACACAGAGAAAATGGCACACATACACCACTTTGTTACTGTTTCAAATTTTTGCATTTGCAATCGTATATTTCTATTAAAATCTTTTTTAAAAAAACGAAGAACATAGTTTACTTACAAGTGGTGGCTCGTGCAGCTACTGGCACAGAGTCTCCTTCATCATACACAGCAACAAGTTCAATATTGTACAGCGTTTTTGAAAACAAATCAGGAAGAACTGTGCTGGTCCGAGATGGATCCACTTCCAGCTGGATAGAAACAAAGAAGACAAAGAGCCTAGCTTTATTAAAATGCCACTTTCTTTGTTGGGCCATTCTGTTGGAGAGCATCTTTCCAATGCTAGACAGCTAAGGAAAGGTTTCACAGTGCTATGTCAATTGGAAAAAACACTGGAGAAATCTCTATAAGAAAGAGCTTATGGTTGGCACTTTACTTTCACAAGGTTTAGGACTGCAAGGCCCAGTGAAAATGGGAAACAACACAAAAATGCCATTGTTTTAAACCTGAGAAATCACTTTGCTTGGTCCTCTGGAATGACTCAACATCCACTAGAAGTGGAAGACTTAGGGATTCTTAGAGAAGTTCCCTCTAGGAATCTTAAGATGTTTTAACTTTAATACTTAAGTTTTCTTCACAGATTTGCTAAAATTCACTTACCTCTTTTAGTTCATCTTCTTCAGCTGCTTTGTATCTCAGTTTGTATTTACGCACTTTCCCTGGAGCCCGTTCCCAATTCACTCTCATGCTGCTGTGAGTAATATCTCTGATATTTAAGCTTTTTGCTCCACTCAGAGGCACTGTCAAATAATCACAAATATCAGCAAGATTCTTAAAATTGCACTCCTGAAAATAGCTTTACAATTCACTGATATACCATTGAGTATTGTGGTCCATATAGTTTTACATCTATGTATATATTAAAATAAATTATGGCAAGAACATATGCATGTGTGTGAAATATAAGCAAGGAAATTAAATAGGAAAGTTAATGAGAGAGCTATATACAGTGTTCCCTCACTGTTTCGCGGATCGCTTTATGCAGACTCGCTGTTTCGCAGTGTTTTTTTTTAATAAATATGAATTTATTGGGGGCTAAGTTGGGGAAAGAGGAGGAGAGGAGGCCACATTTATTTATTCTCACTCTTGCCTTCCAAGGTTTTGCAAATTTGTGAAACACTGCAAAAGAAATTGCCAAACCTGTTCCCCAAATTTCAGAAGTAGGGACGTAGACCTATGAGAAGCAATGCTCACTTTTTCAGACTAATGTCAATTTCCAAGAGGGAAACGTTCTGTCTGCTAGGAGTTGCGGCTTTGCTTTTCACAACTACAAAAGAATCTATGCCGGTAGAATTCAGATCATTTTTGGAATGGGACTGACTGAGATTCAAACAACAAATGGACACTAAAAATATATTATAAATATTTTTATAAGGAATGTTCTTGTTGTTTAGTCATGTAAACTAAACAAACATTGTCTGAGCTCTGTCTGAATATTGCTAAAATAAACTACCCATTTGAAACATGACTGAAACAACAAGAAAGAAAAATGAAAAACCAGAATATTATTCATACATGTGACTTCTTGTGTAGTGAGTGGATCACCAATGAGGTCTCCAAAACTTGCATGAACTGTTAGAGTGTATTCAGTGTTGGGAATCAAATCAACCAGCTGGATGTCATTTACTGATGCTCCTAGACGCATCTGTGGATGGAAAAAGCAAAGAAGATTAAAGAACTAGAAAGAAAAACAAAATTCTTGGACAGTTACGTTTTTTAAAAGGTTTGCATGTCTTCTCGTGTATTTTACAACTTCCTGACTGATGTAATTGTTCATATAATTATCCAGTTAATGTGTTTTATTTGATTAAATATGCCAAAAAACTGCCTTGATGCTTGAGTACATGGAGCTAAATTGAGTGCTCCCTTCCTCTCTCTTAAATTAGTTGTTACCTCTTTTTCTGTGGCTGGCACTGTGGCATTGACAGGTTCATACAACAACACATAGCCAGTAGCTCCACCGACAGGTTCCCATCGCACTCGCATTGTGGTTGAGGTAATGTCATAAGCATTCAGGTTTCTAACTGTAGGGATTGCCACTGGAAAAACAAATAATATTCAGCTCAGTGTTCACATCTACATGCTGCATCACAAGTGACCGTGAGATAAAAACTATTCTCTTGTTTAAAAAAAACAAAATCCATAGAGGCATTCATATGTTTGACATTTCCTCCTGTCTCCTCCATCTCTCTGCAACCCATTTTAGGTAAAATTTGGTTAGATGTTTGTTTTTGATATTATCTTGTAGTTTTATGAACTGTTACGTATCTTAATCAAGCTGGAACTTTCACTTACAAGTTGTTTCGGTGCCCTTTAGAGGTTCACTGTTGGTTCCTTCGACAACAGAAAATACATTCACAACATACTCCGTTTCAGGCTTGAGGCCAGTTAGAACAGTAGTAGTCTCTGATCGACTGACAAAGACCTGCACAAAAATACAATGAAGTCTTAAAAGAATATACTGGCAGCAGTTCAAAGAAACAAGTTCTGCAATGTCTCTCAGTTTAAAAATGTTTTACAATCCGTTATGAAGAAGAAATCAGATATTCAGAAAATATGAGAAGCAATCATTATGTTGGACTGACCCAAAAGCTTAAAAGGAAAAGAACAAGATGAGGTCCACCCATCCCCATCCCACCCATAGAAACTAACTGAATTTTACTTCAGCACTGACAATGATTATAATAGTAATTCCTCCACACTTGTAGTTTTGGCTTTTGCGGATTTGATTATTCACAGATTTGAATTAAAAATGTCCTTTCTATGAATCTCTAACTTTTCCTGCATGATTCTGTGGTCAATTTCCCAGAGGTTTACAGAGAGAACACTTCTCTAAGCATATCTAGGTCCTCCAATTCAATTCGATGTTCAGCTTCCAGTTAAAATTAACCGAAGAATTGGGCTAGAGTATCTAGATATTCCTAGATAAGTGTTCTCTCAGGTACAAAGAAATAGCAAATTATTATTTTGCTATGTTGCTTGCACTATCCCATACTCGGCCCTTCTATAGCCTAGTCACGCCCACTGAACTACTGGCAATGAGTTTTGTTATTAAACTATGTTTTTATTTAAATTGTGTTTTTGCTTGGATTGATTGTTTTGTATTTGTGTTTGTGGACACTTTATCCCATATGTAAGCTCCCCAAATCCCTTCAGAGAGATGGTGGCAAGATATAAGAATAAAGTTGTTGTTGTTGTTGTTGTTGTTGTTGTTGTTGTTACTATGTGTGTGATATTTCACTTTCATGGGAGTCTTGTGCTCATTTGGCACAGGGGTGTTAATTTATGGTTATTTCTGAAAAAAGCATCAATATGGGGAGGGGGGCATTGTACAGTTCTAGAATAAGAATCAAATGCATCCCAAGAAAGTCATAGAAATGGTGGAAATGACTAAGCATAGCATATCTTAAATAACTTTTCCCAATTGAAACAGCTCCACAAAAATTGTGTAGTCAATAACACCTCAAAACTTTTCTTTTTATTACAATTTTGCAGAATGCATAATTGCACATGTATACAATATCTTCATATGAGGGTCCTACAAGGGATAAGCAGCATAAAGAGAATGAAAAAATTACAGCAAACAACAGAAGCGAACAAAAATGATGCCAAGGGAACTTCAAAGATAGATTCAACATGAAACAACTGGGCAAGAACTTGTGAAATAAAAGTTCAACTTTGCCCCTACTGAAATCACAGGACACAAAGGACTTTTTATCACATTATGGCTGCAGTCCAACATCTCCTCAATGTAGCATAAATATGGGCATCTGGTAATATAGTGCACCATCACTACATAGCCCCAGATAAGAAACATTGTGGAATACACATTAAATGTTGGGTGCCAACATATATTACACAATGCATAACCAGAATGTTGTGTTTAACAAGTTAGAGTTCACTGCTGTTAACATCATGGCCTATTGTGCTATGGCAAATAAATCACCTCACGTGTATATTAATAACAGAATGTCAGCCCATATGTTAATTTGCCCATCAATACAAGAACATATATATTACCACCCAACTATTGTTTTATTAAAAGCAGTTATCACTGATTGACAGCCCCTGGTCCAGACTGAGAGGGAAGTTTGAAGTCTGCAATGACATTATCATGATCTCTCAGCTCATACTATGAGTCAATAGAATTGCATTATAAGTTTGCCGTTCTCTGGTCTGACACCTTCCCAAGCTTATGTGTATAAACCCGACAACTGAAGTAACATGTAATTCATATGAATGGGAAGGTCACCAACGTTCATCCTATAATAAAACTGGTTATGAATCTTCCATTTGCCATAAGACTCTGTACTTTTTATAGTCAGTAAATGAAGGCCATATTTTTAATGAAACAGTTGCAAAATGAATAAAGTTAAATTATTCAAGAAAAACATGAACACAGACCAAAAAAAACAAACAAAACTGGGCTTTCAGTTCTGACCTCTTGTGGTGTCCCTCCAGCAGCAGGATAATACTCAACCCTGTACCTATCAACACTCTCAGCCGGTGCAGTCCAAGAGACTCTGAAGGAACGAGGGGTCACCTCTGAAGTCACTAGATTAGTGGGTGGTAGGGCCAAATCACCTGCCATGAGAAGGTCCGAGAGAAGGAAAGTGTTAGAGAGATTTCCCAAGGATAGAAATAGAAGTCAAGTACATCTTTTGGTATATTTGCTGGCAATATGCCAATTGTTTTATTTAGTTGATAACTAAGACATTTGTTTAATTGATGAAGGAACACCCCCTTTCCTACAATGTTTATTGTACTTTGCTTACACTTAAGTACTGAGTAAAAGCACTACCTGTGCTGAAATATATATATGATTCATACGGTCCATGAAAAATTTATATTGAAATGGTATGAATAATATGGCCAAATGAAGTTCTATTCTATACACAAGGGAGAAAGGAGACAAATATATTATAAGGAGGATCTGAATAGTTGATCAACCTTACTTTGTCATTTCAAATGCAAAACAATTCCTATAAAACACAGGGATCAATGTCTTCTTACCTTATAAACTCTGATAAAATAACTTTGACTAACATATGTATCTCTACAAAGACCCTCCTTAGATGAAATGAACAGCATGCAGGTTGTGTGTAAATTGTTAGATAAAATGATAACTACATACATAGGTTACACGGCTACTCTAAAATAGTCATTAAGAAGTCACAGCTAGTACCACCTTCCCTGTCAAATATACGGATGCACAATTACTGCAAGTGAAGGCATGTTCCAATTTGACTTTATGAAGTTAATATACAATTAGGTGATAAAATGTAACTTATCCTAAAGTTGTAAATAGAGATTTTTTTTCTTCCCAATAAAGGTTCCTTATTATATTCAGTTGTGTTGTGAGTCCAGTGCAAATAGCTACAACATCAGATCTTTGGTCACAACATTTACTCTCATTCTCATGCGACCAGAAGAAAAAAGTGCATGTAAAAGGGTGCATGGGATTAAAGCATTGTTACACTTCACATGGCCCAACTCTTCTGGTATTATCTGATAGGTGAAGAAAGGAGCTGGGCAGTAACATCTATCAAATAGTAGCAAAATACTCTGATAGACTAAAATTTCAATATGTAGTATTTCTTCAGATAGTATACATGTGCATAAACATATGCATGCATGAAATGTATGCTTGCAAAAAACTGTTTATAATAAAAGACCCTATGTTTATAATTTAAAAAATCTATGGGGTGTGTGTGTGTCAGAAGAACAACCCAGATGTCTTGCACAGCTGCATTCATTTCCAGCAGCTGTGCTTGGGAAAGTTCCAAGTAAATATTTAAGAAAAAAATAAGCAGGTTAAACAAGGCTAAATTGCTTATAATATGATTTTTAAAAGCTGGATATAAAACTGAAAGGGGAAACATACCTGGGCCTTTGACACTATTGCACAAATTAACAGTGAGGTCATCAACAATATTAACAAGGAGAGTGAAATCTCCAACATTGTATGCGTGGGTTTCATCTGGATCTGATGCAATCTGTTTTAACTCATTTTCATCTGCATTCTTGATACCTTTAAAAGATCATGAAATGAAACATTTTTAACAACCTCAAAGTATTTTCCAGATTAAGTTATAATTCTTGTAAAGTGGAATGAGCTATTTTGGCCTTTCAACTCATGTTAAATATCTCCAGCTGATACTCACCAACAGCATAAAGCTCAACTCCCAGATCCTTCAGTCTTTGTGATGGAGCAACAATGTCATCTTGTGATTTGCCATCAGTAATCAGGACTCCAATTTTACGAGCTCCAGGCCTCATACCAGCTTCTGGTTTGAAGTTGTTTCTTAAGATGAAATTCAAAGCCATTCCTGAAATCACAGAAACAAAGGGAATCATTATTTATTACAAAACGATTCTGGCGAAGGAGTAAAGACTCTCAAAAAGTAACAGCCACATTTATTATGGGACATACAAGTTTTGTCCTATCTCTTCATTTCTATCTATATTAGTCAGCCTTAAGTGGGAAACAAACTATTTCCTTTCACAAGAAGTGATGCAGTTTCCAAATCCACAGGTATTACAAGCTGAATAATAATAATAATACTTTATTTGTACCCCGCTACCATCTCCCCAAGGGACTCGGTGCGGCTTACATGAGGCCAAGCCCACAGTACATCAATAAACAAAAGCAATAACAAAACAATCAAAGCAATACAATTAATATAAATCACATAACAAAAATAAACAATAAATCAACAGTAACACACAAGCATTTAAAACCAATGGCTGGGCCAAGTGTAATAGATTAAAATTGAAAATAATGCTGAACATGGTAACTATACATTATGTGCTGGATCTGTTTCCTGATCTTTTTTTGTAATATGATAGCAATTTGTTCTTAGCAGCAGTATGATTGCACATTTTCCCTAATCAAAAAGACTCCCATACACTGTTATTTGTTTCACATAATTAAAAAATGCCTCTAGAGTCTGATTCCTTAGAAGAGAGAGAGAAAAAATCAAGAGAAATTCCAAGTCAGGAACTATAAACTTCTTAGCTATAGTTATAGATGTAGAACCCTGTGTGTAGAAATTGTATGTGGTAAGAGCTGGACACAACCTTTGGACCCTAGGCTTAGCAAGGGAATGGAGGGTTTTGAAATGAGAAATGGAAAGACAGAAGAGTAAAAGCACCAAATCAGAGAAGACAATGGAGAAGAAACTTCAGCAGTCTTCTCGGATTTGCAAAAGAGCCTTCCACACTTCTTTTCTATCCAACAGTTCCAGAGCGTGCGAATCCTAGACACTGGGCCTACAGCTGCATCCCAGCTGTGCAGCCAGACTATGTAACCAGAACCAGATGTAAGACGCTAATCATTGTCCTGTGGATCATTTGATTTCACTGGACTCTGTCCCTGCTTATTTTGTGGCATAGGGATTTGCCTTAAATCATATACCCATCTGAGCTGTTTTTAAGCTTCTTCCCTGACTTTCCCATTTCCTACTATATAAATCACTGTTTTTACATGTCAGTTTGGTTGAGTTGTTGGCCGGGTTTTCTCTCACTACTTTTCAGTAAATTTTCAGAGATTGGACATTCTTTCAAGAACCTGCTTTTCTTCCCCTTCTTCATCCCACTTTCACCTGTTTGCCCAAGAGGTCTCAGCAGAAAAAAGAGAGGAGCAGGTGATAGACAGTAGTAGCTGGTGGTTAAATGTCAATGATATAGCAAGTCCACTCTTAATTATAGTCTGAACTTTAAAGGCATGGGCATTTTCCATATTTCTACCCTCAAAATATGTTCAGCACCTTGGATAGTTCTGTTTAAAGCCAGGCTAAGCCTCCACACAGATTCATCACTCTAATTATGCAAAAGCCTGTAGTAACCACTGCTGATAGGGGAAAGGTAGGGCTACACCTTAAGAAGGCCATACAATTTATTTTTAACTTAGAGAAGTTCATCCCTGCATTGTTTAATAGAATTCTTCCTGTATGTTAGCCTTTGGGAACAATGCTTATTTTGTGTATCTGCATGCCAACCAATCTTAACTAGGGCATATAGTTCTTCACACAGCCTTTTTGAGAAAAACTGAGGCCATGTGCTAAATCACCTATTAGTCATACCCACATTACAAGTTCTTGCTGTTTTGTGGCAAATTCTACTAAGGAGTGAACTGAATAAGTCAGGCATTTCCTGTTGGGTCAGCCTTAGTCTAGGAAGTGTTGATTGGTCCCTGATCTTTTTAATGAGAATTTCTTGATTTATGTTTTATTGTTATTGTTATGATTTTATGGATGTTAATGCTTTTTTTATATTGTGTTTCTATGGTATTGAATTTTGCCATGTAAACCGCCTCGAGTCGCCAGAAGACTGAGAGGGGCAGTATAAAAATACAATAAATAAATAAATAAATAAATAAATATTTGGATCGGGTCACAGGGACTCCTCTCCACATTCTCATCAGTTTTATACATCATCTAGTTCTATATTGGTCATTGTCAGTATAATTGATATCTTCAAGGTTTTTACTCTCATCCTATGAGAAGGATGCACTTCAATAGAGTGTTTTATTTTTTTCTGATTTTCTGTTGTGTTTTTGTGTTATATTGTGTTTACTGTATTGATGGGCATGGCCTCATGTAAACTGCCCCGAGTCCTCTTGGGGAGATGGTGGCGGGGCATAAATACACATTATTATTATTATTATTATTATTATTATTATTATTATTATTATTCTGTTAACCAAAAAATGTATGGCTGGAATTCTGAAGATCCTTGTGGCACTTCTGTGCCACAGCCTTTCTGGCTGGAGGTGTGTTGGAAACATAATCCACTCATGCATTGATTGTGGGCAGAACATAAATCCTTCTTTCAGAGTTTTCAGTGCTTAGTAGCATAGGTTTCGGATGGTTGATCCAAGAGACACTACTTAGTAATACATACATAATGTATACATCCCTGCATAGCCCATGTAGAATTCTGACCTATAATCTCAGTTATTCAAAATGTACTAGGCTCAAACGTAAAGTACATGCAAAACACTTTGCTTAGCAAATAAAAGACAGTTTTGTAGCTTTCTGGATCACCTAATATTGTGAGTAACCTTTTCCCAATGTTGTTCATTTACACCTCACACGTACCTGTTAAAGTGTTGCCTCCTTTGTATGGCAAGTTGGCCACAGCATCCATTAAACTTTGCTTGGTTTTATGTGAATTGAGCTGCCATTCTGTTCTAGGGTCTCCACTATACTGTGCAAGTCCTGGGGGTAAAGTGGGAAGGGTAGAATATCACTTAGTGTCAACATCTTTTGAAGTAAATTACAATTTCCCAAATATCCCCAAAGACTTACCAATCTGTACTTTGTCAGGACCAATGTCAAACACTTCAACAATGCGAGCAATGAAGCTGCGGACTGTTTTAAAATTTGGACGACCAATACTCCATGAGCCATCCACAAGCAAGACAATATCTGCTTCAGCTCTAGTCTTACATTCCAAGCCTGCCACGGCAATCAGAATTAAAATGTGTTAGTAACAACAAAGGAACAGATTTTCTCCCCTCCTGTCTCTTACTACTCTATCCACGATGCTGTATTTAATCAAAACTATTTTGGTGGGCCACAACACACCTACCCTTGCCTACACCTCTTCTTTTTTTTCTTTTTTTTTTTGTAAAGAAGGATATGCAACATTTTTCAAGTGAATGTCTGGACATTTCTGAATTTTGGTATATGTTGTTGCTGTTTTGCCAAATATTTATTTATTTATTGCAATTCCTGTATCTCCTAGGAGTCCCAAAGAAAGAAATTGGCTCCCGGGCCCATAGGAGTTGCCTGTCCCTGGTCTAATAGCTTTACTTTGTTTGGTTCTAAATATAGTGAGAATCACTTTTATGGGGACTAATGTAAACAAGTAAGCTTAAATTAGGTAGCTAATGACTGCTCCGTATCTTCATTACATAGACGTTTAAAATACCTAGGATACTTATGCACTTAAAAAATATGATGACAATTGCTTAGATAGTACCTTTAGGAATCAAATATGTGCTTAATACATGGAAATACATTGCATCATAAAATGTACATTGGAATGCAATCAATTAATGCAGATGGTGCAGAAGTTTGCACGTTTAAATGTACAAGAGAAAGAGCACAACATAAATAAGATACAGAAATACACATAAACACAAGAATTGGAAGTGACAAAACAAACATTTATATGGAGTTTTAAATGTTTCAGAGAAGTGAAAAATGTCAAGGTCCATCCATTTATGGCACAGAAAGGATCATTTCGTTTCCTACATGCTGGAAATCATGAAGTATTTAGATAAGGAGAAAGAAATAGTGTTAAAATGATCCTTTCAACAGCCACTTGAATGCAGATAAAGTCTTCTTCCTCTTTTTTCCTTTGAAGATTGTATTACCAGCCACATAACTTTCTGGCTCCATGCCATCATAGCTTCTATTCTTTACATGGAAGAAATCCCATTGAGTAAAATCAGGAATACCCATCCTCTATCTTCCACATAATTGAGCCAATACTGTAGATTCATGAATAGAGCTAGTCCAGGTACCTGAGAATTTAAAAGCATGATGCTCTTCTGCATAGAAAATACAATACTGGTCTTTAATAAACAGTCGTCAGTCATGAAATAGGTCCATGCACTGTTTGGAATCTAATACCCTCATGCAGAATAGGGAAGTATTTGCCCATGCCCACCAGGTTTGAGATTCACCAACAGTAGGATGCACGGCCAGGAAGCCCTGAAGCACACGCAAGAAAATGGATGTGGTCATTTGGACAATGACCTTAATTTGAACAGATGAAAATGGCCTGTGTCAACAGCACTTTTGGGATTTTATAACGTTTTAATCTCCCATCTGAGAATCTTAGCAGGTTAACTTCGTGTTTTTAAATATAGTCATTAGTACATTGCAGGGTATAGATTTTACTACTGTTTTTTTTTCCACAAGAGTTGCCAACTTGCCTCATTTTAAAAAGAAAATTAAGTTAAGCGGTAAGAAATAAATTTGTAGAAATAAATAGCAATAGCAATAGCATAATCCAAAAAGAAAAGAGTCTTGCGGAAACTTTAAGACTAGCTGATTAACTTTGGCAAGAGCTTTCATGAATTATCATCCACTTCCTGAGAAGTAATATAACCTTCAGGTGTGATATAAACATGAAACATGATACATCCAAATGTAACCACTTTTAGACTGAAATTCTGTTGAAGACCTTAAACTCAGTGGGCCTTATTTTGGAGTACAAATGCGCAGGATTGCACTGTTAAAGCACAGATATTTCAGTGACAAATCATTCACATGAAGTGGGCAGGAAAAAGAAGAAATGTTCTTTGTTAAAAAAACTCTTAACTGTATAACAATCCCTGAAAGTAAATAACAATATCCATTAAGCATGTTTAATGTTTTTTGGGTAAGAAATATACATTTCTAAGGTACATAGGCAAGAACTAAACTCAAAAATATTTACCTGTAGATAAAATTGGCACCACAGTGGCATCAGAAAGTGTGGTCATTTCTTCTCCTATCAATGGCATACTTTCACCTCCTTCAAACACTCCAAAAACATTCACTTTGTAGGAAGTACCTGCCCTGCATAATTAAAGTGAATACGTAAATCAAAATGGATGACGTCACTTTTGCAAATTCTTTGGCTGGATAATGTCCAAAGAAATAAATACTGAAATTGAAGAAAACTACGATCGGCAATACCTGAGCTCCTCAAGTACAACTGTATTGTCATATGGACCAACAACCAGTTCTCCAAGGCGTCTGTCCTCTCCCATTGGATGAAAAGTTACTTTGTAGCCTTTGACTTCCCCTGGGGCTGGTTCCCAGGTGACACGGAAGCTTGACATTGTAGAATCAGATGTCTTCAAATTTCTAGGTGGTTTAAATGGGGAAGCTACAATAGTCAAGCAACACACAATGAATTAAATGCTTGCTTTAATTAATATACAAGACACTCCAGAAGTCTATTAATTACCCCATAAGACAAATATGGGTCAATGCTTGCAAGGGATACCCCTTGCAAGCATTGTCCCTCCATGGATTCTGCATCCACAGATTCAACCAACCACAGGTTGAAAAAGAAAACTCATGACAGAAAGCAAAGCTTGATATTGCCATGCACTGAGCATTATGCTGATGTATAGACCTGCACTGCTGTATCCTTAGAGATCCTAATGCTCTATCCAGCAGTCATTTGTATTGTTGACCATTTAATATAAGAGACATTCTTGTACTGATTGGGCTCGTCCCCATGTAAGCTGCCCCAAGTCTTACATTTCAATTATCCCATAAGACAAATACAATTTAATGAACACATTTTGATTTTACAAAATTGTACTACAGGAAAAACTAAACTTCCTCTTCCCCAGTATCTTTGGATCTTTTGTACTTGATAATGCCTTCAGCTGTATTTGGAATCGTTAAAAAAAAAACATTGGAGATCATTCACAAATATCCCATCAACAAACTGCTACCAGATAGTTGAGACAGATCATTATTATCAGTGATAATGCATCTAGAAGCAAACAATCTTTTTATAAAAGGTAACAAAAACAACTTTGTTAAATGCAAAACTGTGAAAATAAAACGAATCAAAATGATTGATTGCATTCATGAAATACAGTCCCAGTGAACAGAGTTTTCTTCCCCCTCCCCTCTGCTCAATTAGCATAGGAAACCAGGACTATTACAATACCACCAACTGCTATAACTTTGAATGGTCACTGCTTCTAAATATCTGCATAACTTCCTTTTTTCAGGGAATTAGATCTACATTTGACAAATGGGATGATAACAAAAAATATTATCTGCTCAGCTCTTAAATCCATCAAAAATTCTTATGTCCAATCTTGGAAATCTATTGTTTTGATCTCACTTTTCAAAATATAGTCACTGATCACAGCTATAGAAACACAAAAAGAACCAGAGAAGCAGCTTCTAATGCAAGACTAGGAACATTGGTTTCTCCAGATGTTTTAGACACTCCAGATGTTTTAAACCCACCCAGATGGTGTTGATGTGCTTATCTGGGCTGCCGAATATTCCCAGCCCCTGCTCTTAGGCATCAAGACCCAAACTTAATGCAACACCTTAAGACTCGTCAACACCAATTAACACAATTATCAGCAAACAGTGCAGCCAATGCAGACTAAAGAGCACTGGAATAACAACGCTACCACTTTGGAATGCTGTATTCTCCTGAGCCAACTCTTGTTTCTAGTTTGAATGCTATCCCATGAGTAGTTTGTTGTTTTTAGTTTAAAAGACAGCAGTCTACTGTCAAAGAACAAAAGTCAAGGACTTGGGTTGGGACTGGAACAATAACAGTATTTCCTTTTAAGCACTACAAAGAGAAAGTATTTTCAGGGTGACATAGCTGAACAAGAATGGGAACGCTTTTCACAGATTTCTGATAACAAGGCATAACACCCTATAAAGTGATTGCTCCTGTATCACTCATATCAATACGTCAGTTCATAAATAGATCCTCTGAAGAAATAGTATCAACCACTATTTGCTCAATTTGTAACAACGCACAATTGACTTACATGGGAAAGATGAAACACTCACATTACCTTTGATATCCTGGATATCATAGGCAAAGGCCAGTCAAATAAATTGGCTTTTAAAATACAACTGTGAGTCATTTGGAAGTATTTATTTTACTTTGTTGAAATGCTTTAAAAAAACTTGCTTAACACTAAATTTAATAGTGAGACTTGAAGTCACTGTGGAAACTGCATGTTTGAAGCAGAATTAAAAACTTCCCCATCTTCTCCTGCACCATGTTAAGGATTGTTAATGGGGGGTTGATTCAAAACTCCTCTGTTTCTTATCATTTATATTCATCTTTGGCTGAATCTTGACTAAGAAAGGGATAGCCATATTAGTTTTGTTTTTAAAAAATCAAAAGACTCTAGTGACTGATTTCTACAACTGAAAATGTTTGCTGCTGTGTTCAAGATTCAGTGCCACTAAAATGTCACACCATACTCTTGCAAATCCATTAGCCCAATTCCTAGTTGCTATGTAAACAGCATCTTTACATACATTTGACTAAATGAAACATACGGGATGCACATCTTTTCAAAGCTGCCTGGAAATTGGTCCCACATTGTTTCCATATTTGTTTTGTGCTAGTTGTGCTAGTTGTGCCAATCCTCCATCCTATCATTATGGATTAATTGAAGAACGCCACAGGGTTTCACATTGTTATGTAGCTTGCAGATGACCCAGTGGCACATACATTATCTGGCAAACCCCACCTTGTGGGGTGGTATTGATCATACTAACAGCCATTTACTTTGGTGGCTTAACTGTCTCTTGAATATGTTGAAGACTACTGTTTAAAAAATCTGAAGTCAATAATTTGGGGTGACCAATTAATACCTGTTGTTCCTTCGCCTTGTCTCTGTTTTCCTTCCCCAGTCTTGTACATTGGGATGACGGAGATGTCATATGTAGTCAGAGGCTGGAGGCGCTTCAATACTGTTGTGGTAGATGAAGGTGGCACTTTTGTGACCATTTGCCTTCCTCCTCTGCGAGGTCGATAAACTACACGATAGCTGATAACTCTTCCAGGAGCAGCTTGCCAAGAAACTCTCATTGAGGTCTCTTTTTCATCATCCACTCTCACAGTCCTCGCATTTGGTGAGACTTTTCAGTATAAAATAAAAGAGGAAGCAAAGATATTTTTGAAATGTACTTGATCATATAGAATATTCATCAAAATATGGCTGTAAAGCAAGCGATTATGAGGCTACCATATTGTAATGCCTCAATAACTTTGCATACATCTGTATACACAAGTTACTTTCCTCTTGAAGAGTAGTTTTTAATCAATTCTTGGAATTTAAATGAGAAACAAGCATCTGTTCTTGGGGACTCTCATATTTCCTCCCGGATTTGAGTTTATTGAGATTGAATCTATCTCATCAAGTTAATTACGGTAAGTAGCCTTTTAAAAACCTCATTGTGCAAAAATTTGTGGCATGTTCACTTAGTATTTTGAGAATGTTACCCCCCCCCTTTTTTTTTTAACCTTGTTCATGTTAACAGACTTTCATTCATATTAATGCTGCAACAATAGTTTTTTCTTAACATGTTAAACTAACATTGTCAGGTTCACACAGAGAACACTGTTACTCCAGATCTTTGAAAACTTCACTTTTATTCTATAAAGAACATTGCTTCCTGAAGGGTCGTTCAAAATAACTAAAGAAGTCATAGCAAATGGCTGTGCTGATGATCTCAGGACTGCTTAGGTCAGTGGGATTCTGCTGTTGGACCATCCAACATAAAGCCACGCAGCAAAACTGAATTGAACATGACCTTACATAAGACTATTCCTTAAAATACAGTTTACAGTTTTCATAGTATAAGACATCACAACTTTATTTTATTAATCTGAGACAAAAATAGGGGGGGGAAAGAATATTCAGAAATATTCAGGAAATGATTAAAATGTGTTTTGGAAAGTCTTGGAATGTTTTGGAAAGTCCTGATTAGAAGAGTCCTGGACTAATAAGAGCCTTGGTAGTTTGAGACTTAATGAAAAATTCACTTTTTCTACTACTGCTATAAGTTGGTTATAATTATTTTGGTTGACTGTTCTGTTAGCTGTCTTGATCTATCTGGATGGAAGAATACATTTTTAAAGTACCATAAAAAGCCAGTAAAAATTATTACTAGCAGGTAATCTATTAGTAATAATTCCCTATTTTATCTACCTTCTGTTGTCGCTTCTCCCTCCAAAGGAGCTCCTTCTCCACTTCTGTAAGCAGCCAAGACTGAAATCTTATACTTTGTCTCAGGCTGAAGGTTTTCCAGTACAGTATTTATTACATTTCCAGGAACTGTGGTCTCTCCAGAGTCATCACCATAAAGTGACTTCCATACAATTCTGTAACGATTAACTGATCCTGGAGCTGCTGTCCATGACACACCAATTGTGGTATCAGTTATATCTCTAGTAACCAAGTCACGAGGAGAACCACGATCTAAAAGACAAGAAGTTTAGTAGAATAAGAGGCAGACAATAAAACAAGAAGAATAAACATAAAAGGCAACATTTTAAACAAACTTCCATGTTTAAAGAATATGTTCATCTTTAGAGAGAACTAGTTATAACTACCTTAAAAAATATGCTTTTTCATACATTACTACACTAATACTCCCATAACTACAGAATCAATTTTTGGCAGAATCCATTTGTGGAGTTTTATTTACTCACATCGAAGAGGTAGGGGGTCTCTCTAGGAATTTTCTAGGTCCTCCAGGTGATCCCATGGTAATTTCTGCATTTGGAGGACCTAGCAAATTCCTAGAGAACACTTCTCTCTAGAAATGTCTGTGTCTTCCCATTCAACTGTATGGTATCCTGGGACTTAAATGATGTAATTTAATGGTGTTTGGTAATATCCACTGTTGCATGAAATTGCAGTCTGACCAGGAATGTATCCCCTGTGGATATGAGTCACACTATACACAGTATAGCAGAACCATGTATTATCCCAAAGTCCACTTCAGGTAAATTCCTCATCTTGAAAAGGCTTTGCTTGAAACACAGAGTTGTAACACTTGAAACACATCTAGTGGCTGTCACAGACACAAATACCAGTAGTACACAATAGCTCTGAAATATCTTGATACTTTCGTCTCTGGAAAGTAGGTTCTCAAATCATTTTATATAGAAACAGCTGATAGGACTTGTCTACAGGGAGCTAAAAACTATTTCAAAATCTAGTGGCAGTGTTGCAGGTCACTATGTCCTCTAAACCAATGAGGATCGTGAAAATGGAACATAGATTTAGATATAGTATTGATGTCTGCGGAGGTGAGAAGACCGGTATATAAAAGTTCTAAATAATAAATAAATAAATATTGATAAGAAAAGTTAAAATAATCAAAATAGAAAGTGGCCACTACAGCAAGGTATACCAGACTTCAGAATGTGATCCTGAAATTGCTTGGATCTAATGTAATCCTGGAGTTTCGCTACAATAGGAAGTAATGCAGTTTCTCTAGAATGAAAAAATCCAAAGCCTATAGTTACTACTGTATAGACCAGTGATTCTCAACCTGTGGTCCACAAGAACTAAAATATGGTCCACAGCCTCACCATTACTACATCGTTGCAACATGAGTGACTGGTCTCTTGAAACCCTCTTATAGTGCCATGGATTATTAAATACAGTTTTCTGTGGGTGAGCAGATGGCGACTACTGGATGGCATATGTTCTGTATCAGCAACTAGAACTGATGTAGTCTATCCAATGAAATTTTCTGAAGCAGCACCCCAAATGATCAAACCAAACCTAAAGTTGACCAAAAAACTGATTTGTAACCCTTTTGGTACTAATGTTAGAGAGTGGCCCTTGGTCAAATGGTCCCTGGATAAAAGAGGTTGAGAACCACTGGTTTGAACTATGCTAGTAAGTTATTTGGCATAAACACATCAGAACCAAAATACAACATCATTTTATTTGGCATGAGAATGCATGCTTATCATACACCCCCCTCTCTGACCTGTTTATGTAAAACACTATAAAACCAGATGTTTCTACAAATACAGATGAACATTTATAATCAAGTTAATAGGCTTATAATAAATGTTAAATGCTGCCCTTATTGCCTTAGCTGAAAGTGTCTAAATTAATCCATGAAAATGCCATTGAAAGAGGCAGCTGAGTTGAAATTAAATAAAAGTTTAGACCTGAAACCGAGCCTCAAGAGAACAAATTTCCTGGAGAACAGCAAGGTGCTGCATTTCAAAGGTAACTTACACCAATATTTATTTTCATTCTTTGCTAGAAACTACTCTTAAAATATGGCATCTTCATTCAACTAAAAAAAATGAATACAACCCCAAATGGAAAAAATATGAAAAATTGTCTTGATAGAATGTGCAGATGTCTCATAATAAAAGGCTTTTCTTTCCATATTTAATATAATATAAACATACAGGCCACTTTACATTGGCTACTTTACCTCAAACCTCTGCCACATCATGACCTCAGTATTAAACTATCTGCAGATATAGTACATTTTCAGCAATTATTTCTGGAAGACTGCAGCTAACAATATATGCTGGAAACATTTCAAAGGATAATTATATGTTAAAAGCAACGATCACTTAATCTAAGCTATGTTCTGCAAGATAACAGATGAAACTAATTTATTTGCAATAAAGTATAATTCATGTGAATCACTTTATAAAAAGTGAAGTGGTGGAACCATTGAAGCTGTGAGGCATTACATGGACTATAGCTTCATTGCTTAAAATAGTATTTTGAATTTCCAAGCAATACACAAAATCCATATGGAAAATACTGGACTTACACAGTTATGAACTATTAATGAGACATTGTTCATACTAAGAAGGAGAAGACAACTTTAACATATACTTCTCCACAAGGCAAATAATCCATTACGTCAGTGGTTCTCAACCTTCTAATGCCACAGCTCCTTAATACAGTTCTTCATGTTGTGGTGATCCCTAACCATAAAATTATTTTTGTTGCTACTTCGTAACTATAATTTTGCTACTGTGATGAAACGTAATGTAATTATCTGATATGCAGAATATATTTTCATTAACTGGACCAAATTTGGCACAAATACACAACATGCCCACATTCGTATACTGGTGGAGTTGGAGGGGATTGATTTTGTCATTTGGGAGTTGTAGTTGTTGAGATTTATAGTTCACCTACAATCAAACTGTATTCTGAACAACACCAACAATGGAATTAACCAAACTTGGCACACAGAACCCCCATGACCAACAGAAAATACTGGAAGGGTTTGGTGGGCATTCACCTTGAGTTTTGAGGTTGTAGTTCAGCTACATCCAAAGAGCACTGTGGACTCAAACAATGGTGGATCTGGACCAAACTTGATATAAATGCTCAATATGCCCAAATCTGAACACTGGTGGGGTTTGAGGAAAATAGACCTTAACATTTGGGAATTGTAGTTGCTGGGATTTATAGTTCACCTACAATCAAAGAGCATTCTGAACCCCACCAACAATAGAATTGGGCCAATGACAGAACCCCAATGACCATCAGAACATACTGTGTTTTCTGATGGTCTTTGGAGACTCCTCTGATACCCCTGGTGACCTCCCCCAGGAGTCCCGACCCCCAGGTTGAGAAACACTGCATTATGTAAATAATACACTGATTGGCAGACAGAGTTAACATGGAAGTGTCCTCCTGAACTCTATGTAAATATCATAGAGACAAAAGTATTGACTGAAGTGTGCAAGAATTTTGCACAAATTCATTAGCATTTTTTCTTCATAATGCTTTTTTAGAAATATGTCAAAATAATTGAAAGAGTACAACATGTTTCCATCCTTCTCATTAGTGGACCAAAGAAATGTCAGATTTACCATGGGACTGAGTCAGTGGTCCATTCCAGGATTATCCAGAACAAGGTGTTCTAGCTTATGAAAGGATGAAAGCCCCCAGGAGCATATTGTACTAACTTTGAAGCAGTTCCATCATCTCTGTTAGTTTGTTATATGTGCACACAATATAATGTATCTCTGCTTTAAATGTTCCCACTTTTAGAGGATACATTGGCAAGGATGACGAATAAGGCTTTCTCAATCATAGAACTGATAATGTATCACTTACCACGGTTTTCCAAGTTTTCTCATATGTGGCTTTTGGGCAAGGTGGCAAAAAGCTTTCAGAAAACGTTTTGTCCTACTGACTAACACTGCTTTTATTTAGTTTGATGGATGTTAAAGATTGTTTGACTTTTTAGAATGTTTTTGCAGATGTTGTTATTGTGTTCCTTTCACCCTTTTTAAACTACATATTCTTCAACAGCCTGTTTTTGCCAGACTGTCAACAAGTACACTTTATTTGTGCGTGTTTGTGTGTGAATGAAATATATTTCATGGTGCCAGCAACATTACAAGAACCTCTTTATGCAACATAGCCAAAATGGCGAAACACTCTATTACTGTTAAGTGTAGATGTCAAATCGCTCCAGGGGTAACTAAGGCTCCATCATTTCTGTACTGGAAAGTATTCCTGTTCCATCCCTGCCAGAGTATAATGTGCTCTTAAGATTTGGAAACAATTTGGGGTACTTTATTAAAAAGCCAAACTCTTTGCAAAGGTGAGTGTTTCCAAAATTTTATTTCCATTTCTACTGTTTCCATTATACTGAGGCACAGACAATAACTTCATTTAAGTAGTTTTCCTATATGTCCCTGGCTCTTAACGTCTTAATACCCAAAGAATCATGCTTGCTACTAAAGCAAACAGATGAGTCCAAATATAGCTACACATGTTCAATATAGCTAAAGTACTTCTGTGAATGGGTCACAAGCATCGATTTCCTTCATGGTAACTCCATACAACCGCAACAGCTAAAGAAGAAGCATTGTTTGATGGATGACTCTTGAAGTACTATGAAGTAACTACAAACCAACCACAACAAATTCCACTGGTAAAATAATTAGGCTATGACCTGGGGGAAAATAATGATTATAATACAATTTGCTATACAAAAAAACTGCTAAATCAAAGACTTTCACCACTGTAAGTAGCATAACAGCCATTGACTAAATAAAATGCATAATGCTATGAATTGAAAAAAGCTCATAATGAAATGAAGTTAATGGAAAAGAAATAAAATGAGTTTTGCAATTTTTGTGCATGGTGTCAATTATATCTCCAGAAGACCTGGAGACTGGTAACATGCTGAGGTGGATGTTGTTTCCATCCTGTATCTCTCCATGTAACTGCCTATAATACTTATATATGGCATTTAACTAGAAAGTAAAGAGCCTGCTCCTGTACTTCAAATGTATCATGGGGGCTGGGGGAGTCATGTTCAGTTGGTGCAACAGAAACAACCCAAAGTCTTATGAAATCTTAAAAATTAAGGCTGGTTACACAGAAGGGAAAAGTCCTGTCTGACCTGGTTTTTTCAAAACCCGGGTCAAGTCAGACTTCTGTACCCACACCAGCGGAAA